TGTTCTCTGGCCTCTCTCCTCACTGCCCACCTCTTATGCTGCCTCTACACCCAGCTCCACCCCACCACTCTAAAGAGATTTTAGTCACAAGGGACACCAGGGGGCTAAGACCAGCCACCTTTCTCCATTCTGGTCAGAACTGAGTCCAACACAGCCAAGGGCCCCTTCTATCTGGAAAACCCTTTTCTCTCATGGCTCCTCCACTTTCTCAGTCTCCTTTCCTAGGTCTGCCTGGCTGTTCCTGGCTGCAGGAGTCCAGCCCACCACTTTGTCCAGTCCTGGGGCTTCAGATCCTCTGACCTCACCCAACCTCTCAGACTCATCCCTCCAACTTTAGGAGGCTGGTTGCCTGTTCAGAACCCAGAGCTGGCTCCTGAGGGCATCTAAAACCCGATTCTTCTTCCAGCTGCCTGCTCTGCCCCAGTTCTCTCCCACCCTGGGGAACCAGCACTATTCTTCCAGAGCCAGCCTTCAGCCATGGCTGCTGTTTTCCTCCCCAGGTAGTACTATGGCATTCCTGACTCTGCCATCACCCCTCCCTCAAGTCAGGGCAGCAGTGGCCAGTGCCTCCACCCACCCCTTGGAAGCCCCTTGTTATCCTTTTCTACAGTAGCTGGGGATCTCCTACAAAACCTAAAGCACACAGGCTGCTCCCTGCTTAAAGCCACCTATCAATCCCTAACATACCAGGAAGGAAGCAGAAGAAAACTCCCACACCTGAAAAGCTGTAAGCCTTCAGGTCAAAGTACATGCAAACAGACCAAAGTTATGTGGTCTACACCAGGCATGGTGGGTGGCCTTCCCCATCCCCAGGCCAAGAAGAACCCTTCCCCACCTCTGCATGAAGAGGCAGGTCTCCTGCAGGACAACTAGAGTCCAATTGGCTGGCATGAGAAGTGATTCCTCAGGTACAGGCCAAAGAGGTTCTTATGTTTGAGGCCAAAGGAAAACTGACCCTCTTTCAAAATTGCACCAGGATATGAATTTTTAAAAATCATTAGCTATTTCCAAAAATGACAAATGGGATACAATAAACAGTAGTGAATAGAATATGAGACAGGATAGATGAGGGAAAATGAGGCATGGGAAACAGCACCCAGGAATTCAGAGATAAACACTGTATTAATGAATACCTTGATTAAAAACATACAAATACTACTTTCTTTGCTTGAAGCCTTACCCCACCTCAATAAGTTGCAACAATTAGTAAAAAGAACAGAAGAGCAGCTCTCTCCCACTGACCTTGCTTGCCAAATGATTATCACGTTCTGGGAATGAGCAAGGGTATCCTAGAGAAAGTCACTTGTCCTCGAAGAACCCTGGGAAAATGACTCCTCTGAGCACAAAAGATAGCTACAAAGGAAAATATTATCTCAAGGATGGGCACTAGTCTTGAAGGGAGCATCTGGTAGGACTTATCTTTTGTTTAAAGGGATGTTCAGACATCTATGGCATGATGACCCAAATTTAGTAAGCGGGCCAACCTTGAAATCCCTGGGCCCAATTGATAAAGATAGCGTAACAGAAAAAATGATTAAATATACCAAGTGTCAGAACAAATGGGAGCACTTTTGCTAAGATGAATTTGGGCTAACCCCTAACCTACTTTTTCACCATAAATACCCCTGATGTGAAAACACTCATCAAGCCGGGCACCAGTAGCTCACACCTGTAATCCTAGCTACTGGGGAGGCTGAGATTGAAAGATTTCAGTTTGAGGCCAGCCTGGGCAAATAGTTCACAAGACAATCTCCAAAAATTAAATAATCAGAGCAAACTGGAAATATGGCTCAAGCAGTAGAGCACCTGTTTTCTGAATGCATGCTTTGCAAGCTCAAAGCCCTGAGCTCAAACCTCAGTCCCATCAAAAAATAAGTAAATAAATAAAATATTTGTTATATCTGCTATCTGATGTGCCTGCACCTTCTGGGTTCATACTATGTTTCTATCTTTCCTTTGCTTTACTAATACACTTTAAAGGTCTCTACCTTGATGTGTCCCAAAATTCCTTTTTGTGACAGCATCACAAATTTGGTACCCAAGCACCAGGGAGAGGCCTCATCCCTTTTGGAGATCTCCCCCCTGGAGCATCACAAGTTCTGGTAACAAATACAGTAACCAATCTAAATACTTAGGGGGAAAGATACCAACAACATGCAGCCAGGATCCCCGAGAGTGGACCTAAGGAGGCTAGCACAGGAGACTGACCAGACGAGACCGGCATGTTCAGGGCAGTAGGTATAGCCTTAGACCAGGAGACCGATCAGAAAGATGGCTGACATGTTTGCTTTGATTTTATAAACAGAAGAACAGAAAAAGGAGTGAGAATGGCTAATAAATTAAAAGGTCAGCCTAAATGCCAATTTATCAATAATCACACTTGTAAATGGATTACATTACTCTATAAAAAGCTGACAGCTCTGGAATCAAAAAATATAGCTATAAAATAAAGTGACATGAAAATAAGGAGACAGAAAAACAGACTTAGGCAGGTATGATGGTGGTGAGCACCTGCAATCTCAGCACTTGGAAGATGGAGGGAGGAGGATCTCCAGTTCGAAAGAGCCTATCTCAAAGAAACAAAAAGATGCCTCTAACTGGGAGTGATGGTACATGTCTGTGATCCCAGGCATTACTTCTTGGGAAGCTGAGGCAGGAGGACAAGTATAAACCCAGCTTGGGTAACACAGTGAGACCCTGACTCAAACAAAAACAAAATAAAACAAAACAAAAAAATAATGCTTTAAACAGGACATAGAAAGTTTTTTTGTATTGACAACATTAAAGAAAACAGGCATCGGGCTGGTGGAATGGCTCAAGAGGTAGAGTGTCTGCCTAGAAAGCATGAGGCTGAGTTCAAACCCCAATTTAAAAAAAAAGAAAACATGCATCTTGATAAGGTCTTGAAACTTAAAGCAAGACTTGACAGACACGGAGAGAATCTAGAGCTTAACCCTATCTTTCTAGAAGTCAATGCACTGAGCACCTAAGAAGTAGGCAACAGACCTGTTGATCAAGCATGAGCAAGATCCCAGCCAGTGCAGGGGATGCATTCTTCTCACATCACAGTGCAGGTCATAAAAGCAGACTTTGTAATAAGCTACAATGAAAGAGATTCCAAAAAGCAGAAGGCTTTAAGAGACCCTATTATGAAACTCTGATAGAATAAAGTTTAAACTAACTCCCCTAAGAGCTCTGCACCTAGCAAATGAAGGCCCACCACCCCTAGTCTAAACAATGCTAGTCTAAACAACAAATGTCAAGGCTGAAATGACAAACTAGTTGGTGATGAACACAATGAGTACAGCCTGAGCAAATCCACGGAAGGAGGCCACAGGGAGAGAAGACCCACAACTGCAGGTGTTAATAGACACACGGGGACCAGAGCAAAGAAAAAGAAGCAAGGATGAAGGAGGCAGAAAAAATGGAGACAAAGGCTGGTTTTTTGGAAAGACTGTATGAGTGACAAGCTTTGTAAGTCTAAGAAGAAGAGGAAAACGTAGGGTGGGGTTCTGGTGGTTCACACCTGTAAACCTAGCTACTCAGGAGGCAGAGAGCTGTAGGATCTTGGTTCAAAGCCAACGCAAGCGAATAGTTCACCAGACTATATCTCGAGAATACTCAACATAAAAAAGAACTGGCAGAGGGACATAAGTAGTAGTGTCTGCCTAGTCAGCATGAAGCCCCAAGTTCAAACCCCAGTACCATCAAAAGGAAAATTTAAGAAAAGCAACCTCAAGCATGAGAAACTACAAAAGCAGCCCAAGAATTCTGAGGATGCAGCGCACACCAGCCACACTTAACTGGGGCTGCTTTTCCCAGGAAGTGCCTAGAAACTCATGAGGTGGGCTCTACTTCACCTGGGGGTCCGGGAGGTCTCAAAACTCTTGTTCCACCAGAAGTGTTAATCACATCTTTTGACAAATGCTGATACAGAGATAATGAACAATGTGGTATGAAAATGCTTCCATGTGTACAGAGGAAAGGTCACTCTCCTTAATATGTGGAGGACCTAGAAATCAGTTTTAAAAGTACTTGACAGTACAATACAAGGAAAACCAAAACACAGCCAATAAATACATACAAATATAGTCCACCTATTTGTATGGGGGCAAGTATACGTACATAAAAGCAAGAAAATACTCTGACAGATTGCATTTTTTTTTTTTTTGTGGTACTGGGGCTTGAACTCAGGGCTTCACTCTTACTAGGCAGGTGCTCTACCATTTGAGCGGTTCTGCCAGCCCTTTTTTTTGTGTGTGTATTGGGTATTTTTGCCCAGGCTGACTTTGAACTTTGATCTTCCTGATCTCTGCCTCCTGAGTAGCTAGGATTATAGGCATGAGTCACCAGCTCCTAGCCAGCACTCTACATTTTTAATATCAACAAAGAATACAATTTGGAAGTTATATGAAAATGGAAATTTTCATTTCTTGGCCATAATGTTTTAATTTTTACATGAGAGAATTTATTGTATTTTTTTTTCCTTTTTTTCACACAGCTAGTAAGTGAAATTTATTGTACTTGAATAGAAATTGTACAATCAAGTAACTGTTAAAGAAATAATTATGAATGCCTAGCACCATTAAACCTCAAGAGTGTCCACAAAACATGAATCGAAAGAATCCCACCCAACACTGAAAGCACCTCCTACACTTTCCTAAGCATTTACTTGTCTATTTCAGTTTCCTCGAGCTCCTACCTGGGCTGGAACCCGCCTCAGTGTAAGAACGCAACAGGCGCAGCCTGCCCCCATTCAGGCACCTTGCACTCAGTAATGCAGGCCCTCCCTGCTGGCTGCAAATGTCACGTCCTCACACAGAGCCTCTCATGTGACTGGGAGCAAGTGATCAGCTCCCTAGCCTGGGTTCCCTGATCCACAAGGTGTGGCTATGACCAGAGTCCCCCCCTCAGACTGTAGAGAGACCCTCAAGACATGAGCCTCACTGCAGGTAGACCTTGTGGTGGGAGGGAGGCAGGGGAGCACTTTGGGTACTGACCACGGCTGGGGGGCAGCAGGCCACTCAGGTAGGGGAGGCTCACTCTCCTCAGCTCGTCCAACTTCTCCCGCAGCTTGCGCACCTGGTTGTCTGAGCGACTGACCCTCTGCCGCAGACTCTTCAGCTCGCCGTTCTTTTTCTCTACCTGCTCCCGCAGGCAGCATACCTGACTCTTGTTCTGCCGGGCCGAGAAACAGTAGGAGTGCAGTGAGTCGATGAGCTTGCAGGCCCCTGATGCCGACAGGATGACCTCGTTGATGGACATGGGGCTTGCATCGCTGTGCTCGCTCTGCACAGCTTCTGCAGCTGGCTTCGGGGTGACATCGGTTGGAGGGGCAGAGGGGCTCTGGGAAGGCTTCTGAGGCGTCACTGTGAGTGAGGAACTCGGGGGACTCTGAGTCACACCCTTGTCGGGCCCTAGGCTGTTCCCACTGCAACTTGGCTCCACATCTCTCTTGGGCCTCTTCCGGTCAATGGGCTCTCGGGGCACAGATGGCCTCTCTCGAGTGTGCTTGGAGGAGAAACTATAAGAATGAAGTGAGCCTATAAACTTGCAAGCCCCAGATCCTGGGGGGGTGAAGTCCTCCATGGAAATGCCACTCTTGTCTGCCCCACCAGCATCAGCAGAGGAGGTGATGTTCTGGTGGCTATCCTCTGTGGCAGACACTTCTGGGACTCCTTGGCTGCCCGCTGCTGGAGTGGTCAGTCCCTCTATTAGTGTTCTTTCTAGAGACTGCTGCTCCTGCTCCTGACTAACAGCATCTGGGGTGGCCCCAGGTGCGGTGTCACCCTGCAGAGCAGCTCGCTTCAATCTGTGGGACTCGGGCTTGGCCATCAGGTTTTCACTCAAGGACACCGAGGGACCTGTGGCTTCTTTCCCAGCTGTGGTGCTTGTGTGTCCCCTTATGCCTCCTGTGGCCTTGCTGGTGTCCTTTCTCCTGGCACGGCCATGACCTCCAGCTCCCCTCTTCTTCTCTGTCAGGTGGAAGATGGAAGGTACAGCAGTGGGCTTGAGCAGGCGGTGCTGGTCCTCCAGTCTTTTGGAGAAGCTGTCTTTGGTGAAATGTTCACTACAGAGGAATGAATACTTAGTGGGGGTCCAGTTATCCCTCTGAACAGCTTTTAACCACTGGATCAGGCGTTTTGAGTCCTTTAGAGGGAATCTGCACAACAAATGACAAAGCAGTAAGAGATAAATGTCTCCTCCTAAAATTATCAACTATAAAAGCAAAACATGTATTTTTTGCAAGCATCAAAACCCATATTGACTTCATCTGCTTAAAACTTTAAGGATTAAAGACTACCTTTACTGTCAACTTGTTACAGAAATGGAAAGAGGAAAGACCCACATCCTCCTCAGGAGCCTGAGTCTGCAGAGGACATAGGCGTGATGCACATTGCTTCTCCCTACTGTGGCAATGTCCAGTGGGTATGAAGGAGGCTGACATGGCAGGATGGCATTTAAACTATAGGAAGTAGCTCCTAGAAGCTGATCCCTGACCAGTCCTCCTGGTGCCTAGGAGGTGGGACTGTGGACACTAAAACCAGAATGGCTGACCCCCTATAAGCAGTCAGGCAGTGTCAGCCACAGAGAACGACCAAGAAACCAGGAGAGCTTCGGAGGTGCTCACTGGGTGCCGGCCCCACCTGGGGCCAAGCAGCTGAGCATGAGGCAATCAGCTCTAGAGTGTGACTCAGAAGTAGTCCTGCTGTCCTATGTGCTTCCACCACCAGGAGCAAAACTGCTTCCTTTAGGGGTCACCCAGCCCATTGTGAACCTTGAGGACATTATGCAGAGTGAAGTAAGGCAGTCACATAAAGATAAATATCAGATGTACTTACACAAAATACTGTAGCTACCTGCATAAGATACTAAAAACAGCCAAATTTATACAAAGTAGGAATACCTAATAAAGATATTTATCACTTCTTCGTTAAGGCAAGAATGAAGAATCTGTATTAAGAAAACTCAGACCAAACTGCATGGGATGGGGGACGGGGGGGGGGGGGGGGGGGGAGGTGGAGCATTCCTAACTGCTCTGAGCGGCTGAGGACCAGGATGGACCCTAACAGGATGGATCTAGAAGTTCTCAGCAAGGTGGCCTTCTAATCTCCGATCTCAAGGTTTTTGGAGTCTGACTCCTAGAGATCCCCGGTTCAGATACCCTCTACCCCTCCACGTTAGGCGTTAGCAATGCCCACAGCAGCCTGCCCTGCAATAGTCTGCCTCGTTTTCAAAAACAGTAAGGAGACTTCAGGAACACGTGCTCTTTAGGAAACTGTCACGAAAGCAGGCTGGCCGGCTTAGGTGTTACCGAAGCGACCTGAGACTTGGGGGCGAACCCCGCGGACTTTCACCCCGCAGCACGTGCCATTCCGGTCCTTAAAACTTAACACCAGCATCACCAAGCACAAGCAGGTGCAGGTGGCTTGCAGCCCTCGGGGCTCTGCCGGTACCTCCCGCTGCAAGTCGGCGGGGCGGAGTCCGCGATCCCCGCGCTGGACGCCGCCCCGTCCCGGTCCCCGTCCCCGTCCCCGGCCTAGGCGGCGGAGCCCGGGAGCCCGAGCGCCAGGGCGGCTCCGGAGCGCGGAGCAGGAAGCGCGGCGGCGCCCGCGCCCCCCGCCGGCCGCGCACCTCGGGTGGGCCGCCCACGGGGGCGACAGCGGAGTCCCCGGGCCGGCGGGGACCATCAGCCCCAGGAAGCCTTTCCAGAAGGCGCCGCTCCGGGGGCTGGCGGCGCCGGAGGCCGGGGAGGGCGAGCGGACCCGGGGCCCCCCACCCCCCACTGCTCGGGGCGCCCGGCCCAGAGACGCCGGTCCGGGCCAAGGTCACACAGCGCCGCGCCCCCTGCCCGCCAGACTCCTCTGCGGCACCCCGCCGGCGGGCCCGGCGATCCCCGCCCCCAGCCCGCCGCGCGGCCTCAGTTTCCCCCAGGGCCCCGCCGGGCCGGGGCGGGGGCGTGGCGGAGCGGGCGGCGGGCCGCGTACCTGTGGAAGGAGACGGCGCGCTTCTCGCCCTTGCCCTGCCGGTTGGAGCAGTTCACGGCCGCGCAGCAGATCACCATCGCGGGCTTCGGCCCAGCGCGCCGCCAGGCTCCGGCACTCGCCGCCCGCCCGCCGGTCCGGCCCGCCCCGAGGGAGCGCGGCGACACGGCTCGGGACGTGGGCCGCGGCCGCGCCGTACGGCAAGATGGCGGCGCACTGCCGCCCGCCCCGCCCCGCGCCGCGCTCGGGCTGCCGGGCCACGGCTCAGGGCAGCGGAGCGTCGCGGCGGTTGTGGCGGCGGGCGGGCGGGCGGGCATGGGAGCCACCCGGCGGGGCGAGTCGTACGGCGACATGCGCGCGCGGCCGTCCGTACGGCAAGATGGCCGCGCCAGCCCGGGTGAAGCGGCCGAGCCGCCGCGGCCCCCGGGTCCTCTGCGGGGGGCGGTGCCACGGCTGGCGGCTGCGTCCCGTCAGGAACGCAGCGAGCCGCGACCTCGAGCCCCGCCGCGTGCCTGTCTCCGCCCCGGCCGCCGTGCCGCCGTACGCCGAGATGGCAGCGCCCTCGGCGCTTCCGCCGCGCGGCGCTTGGACCCCGCGGCTTCCCGTCGCCGCGTCGCGCAGCGGCCCTTCGGAGCGACGCCGCGGTCAGTCGGCAGCCGGACGGGAAAGATGGACGCAGGTGAGGAGGGCGGGTGCCTGGCCTCTCGCGGCCGCGCTCCTCTCCCCGGCCCGGCCGATCGCTCGGAGTCCGCGGGGCGGAGGGCGGGCGGAGGGCGGGCGGGCGCGGGGGGCCCCGGGCGGGCCGCGCCTTTCCTCCGCTCCCTGCCGCGCTCGGCCCTGGTCACGCCCGGCCGCTGCCTCGCTGGGGCCGCCAGCGCCCCTCGGGCCTGCAGGGAGCGCCCAGGCTGCGGGCCGGGCCGGGCCTCGCCCTGCCGAGTGGAGAGTGGACGCTCAGCTGGGGTGAAGTTGGAGCTGATGCTCCCCCGTCCACCTGCGCGCCTCGCCTTTGTTTTAGACTCCATAACCTGTAGATGTTCCGAGCTGCCGCTTCTGCGATCGCAGATCCCCCTGGGGTCCTGATGATGTGCTTGGGGACGGTGTTACTGACCCCGGTCAGGCAGAACACCTTGCTTTTGTGTGCATGGTGTTTTGGAGACGCAAGTCTGTCCCGAGGCCGGCTGTCTTTCAGTCCCCCACAGCTGTAGTTTTTACGTTTTTAGGGGAGGAAGACTGTCATCTGCTCTGCCTGCCGTCCTGAAGGGCATTGCTTGTGCTGCTTTCTTCCCCTGCAGCTGCGCCACGCGCTTCTTAGCTCTTGGAAGTAACGTGCAGTCATTGTCCACTCCACTGGCTTTGTGACCTTCGTCCCTTCAGGGTTAGGCGGTGGAGGAAGCAGGACACCCCCACGCCCCGAGGAGCAGGCTGACCAGATGTGTAGATGGTGAAGCTTGTTTTTTTAGAATGAGTGTCGGACACTGGCCTACGGTTTGCTGGGGGCATGGAGTGGAGGAAGGATTCGAACTGTTTACTTACCCACTTCCTTTTTAGGTGTTACTGTTTGAACATGTAAGGTTGTTTATATGAAAGACACTGTTAAGGTGGAAAACGGTTTAACGTCAGACTGTTACCTTTAAATGAGAAACTCATGTTAGTGATACAACTGTGTAGTCACACGAAGATACCTTACTACCACACCGAAAGCTGCTACTCGGGATCAAAGTAGAAAAGATGTTTGCATGTGCAGCAGGTGTCTGTGCTGATGACGCATATGATGTGCGAGCACGAGGGACATGCTGACCCTCCCCTGGCCCTTGGGGTCCTTGAACAGTCTGTCTTCCTCCACTAGGTGTGATACAGTTTCTGGTTATTCTTACGGTCCTGCATTCCATAAACTACATTCATAATTGAGTACCAGGTATGTGCCAGGCATTGTTTTAGACCCTGGGACTAGAGAAGTACAGAAAACACAGGGTGAGGGGTGAGAAGTGGAAAGCAGCTGACAGGCCCCTAGGAGAGGAGGCATGTGCAGCAAAGGGTGTTGTGTATGAGAGTGATGTAGGGCATGCAGTAGATGCTGGACTGTAGCCAGGATGGCCAGGAAAGGCCTCACTTCGAGGGTTACATTCTGATCAAGACCCGAAGACTGCAGGAGGAAGGGCAAGTGGGCTGGTATAGGAGCATCATGGAGGTGGGTGTGTCCTAGTTCAGGGACCCATCTCCAGGCCTTCCTAGCTCTCCCTGAGGACCTGGGCATCTCTTGTGAATAGGATTATGACCCTTTGGAAGATGTTCAGAGGAGGACTAACATTATTGCACTTAGGTTTAACAGGCTGTTTCTGGCTTCCTGTTGAGAATGTGCTGCAGAGGGGCAGAAGCAAGGAGACTGTTCGAATAAGAGGTAGAGACAAGAGATTGGCTTCAGGATGTGTTGTGAAGGCGAGACAACAGGATTTCTTTACAGGTTGGAAGCTGGGAGAAGGATAGGTAGAGAGGAAAGAGTGAATGATGGCACCAGGATTGACTGACTGAGCTAAGAAATTCAGATGGGGAGGGCCTGCTTTGTGGAGAACTGTCAAGACTGGTTTTGTGTGTGCCCAATGTGAGGTGGCAGTCAGATGTCCAAGTAGCGATTTCAAAGGTCTTTGGGTCCATGGGCTTATAGCTAAGGGAATAGGCAGGTGCTGAAGATGTACAGGAAGCTATATAAGGTGTGGGCAGGAACAGGAGAACCAGGGAGGGAGCTGGGGGCTGCTGGTGTGGGGAGTGGCAGGCAGACAGAGTTTGGTTGTGTTCCCTACCCAGCCTGTCCCCAGCACTGTCTGTAGCGATGCTCCTGGTTCAGAGCACTTAGGTACTAGCATAATAAGCAGCCACGTGGCTCCTTGTGGACAGAACCAGAGTGATGCTTACTGTCCAGTGCTTCACACTGCACGTGGTTGGGAGTAAGGAAGCAGAATTTGAATCCAAACATTCAAAAACCAAAATGCTCCCAAATTCAAAGCTTTTTGAATACTGTCCTGATGCTGTGACTGGGAAAATTGTACACCTGAGCTCAGGTGAGGGAGTGCCATGCAAATGGTCATAGGCTGGGGTGTAGCTTAGTGGCAGAGCATTGGCATAGCAGGCACAGGCCCGGATTCCATCTCCAGGAGACAGAGAGAGAAAGAGAAAGGAAGTCTGAACCAAACTCTTTGTGCCAGGCATGCGTCCTGGCACTTGGGAGGCAGAGGCAGAATGTTCACCTGGTTACGTAGCAAGACTGTCTCAAGAAAATAAAACAGAGCTGGTGGAGTGGCTCAAGTGGGAGAGCGCCTGCCTGCACAAAAAAAACCAACCCCACACTCATACTGAAAGTATTTTATAAAGTTATCTTCGGGCCGTGCGGATGGGTATAGATAAAATAAAAATGGGTTTCATGCTTAGATTTCGGTCCCATTCCCTAGATACCTCGTTTTATATATATGCAGATATTCAAAAGTCTGAAATACTTCTGGTCCCAAACTTTTTGGATAAAGGAACACTCAATTTGTACAGGAATTTGTTTGTAGGGTTTGTGCACGGTGTAAGTTCAATCTGTTAGTACGAGATGTCAATGACTGAAAGTCCAGTGGATTTTAATGTGGATATTCTGTCCAGTGTGTTCACTAAAGCAGTATTTTCTAGTTTTTTCACATAACTGAAGTTTTGACTGTTTTTATTTATTGTACGTGCAAGCTGTTGTCTTAAACATAAGAGTTCAAAGGAATAGGAGAACCCTTATGCTGGCATTTATTTATAAAGCATAATCTTTTTTTTTTGGCAGTACTGAGGCTTGAATTTGGGCCTGCACCTTGAGCCACTCCACCAGCCCATTTTTGTGAAGGGATTTTTCAAAATAGGGACTTGCAAACTATTTGCCTGGGCTGGCTTTGAACCCTGATCCTCCAGATCTCCGCCTCCTAAGTAACTAGGATTATAGGCGTGAGCCACTGGCACGTGGCTTAAAGCATAAGCTTGAGGGGGAAATTTTTGGTTCTCTACAGCCCAGGCTGGACTAGAACTCAAAATCCTCCTGCCTTAGCCTCCCAAGTGCTGCAAATACAGTTGTGTATCACCACACCCAGTTTGAGAATAACTTTTAAAAATGAGATGCATTACAGTAACCTTTATTTTTTTTTTTTTTCTTTTTTTGGTGGTACTCACGCTTGTGAGGCAGGCACTCTACCACTTGAGCTGCTCCGCCAGCATGCTGCAGTAATCTTTAAAATAAATCTCCTGTCTTTGTGGTTCTCTCTGCTTGAATGACAGTGCGATTTGTACAACATGGAAAGATGGTAAATTCATTGAGCACAATTTCCTATTTTTCTATCAGATTAATAATACTGAATCTCAGTGTTTTTTTCCTGATGGAATTACTGTATTATTAAAATGATTTTTTTTTTCTGGTATGGAGTTTGAACTCAGGGCCTACACCTTGAGTCACTCCACCAGCCCTTTTTGTGATTTTTTTTTCAAGATAGAGTCTCTTGAACTGTTTGCCTGGGGCTGCCTTTGAACCACAGTCCTCCTGATCTCTGCCTTCCCAGTAGTCAGGAGTACAGGTGCGATTACAGGTGTTGGGCTTAAAATACCAGCTGTCTGGTATCTCTGTGCAAAAACAAACCTTAGTTGGAATTAGAATTGTTATTTTGAAAACTTTCCCCTTCCTCCATTTAAAGTAAGATGGTGGTCACGGAGCTGGGCTCAGCTTCAGCCTATGTTGCCTGGGTAGTACCTTAGTGAATGGCATCTCACCCTGGCTTCCTCTTCAGCCAGCCCTGTGGATGTGCCCAGGTGAGGTGAGGTCTGCCCTGAGGGGCTGCCTGTGGCTTTTTCCTGTCCTCTAGCACAAGTGAGTTGCTCACAGGGACAAAGCAATGAGATCCTGTATTCACTTTTCTAGTAGGATTTGCTGTGGGGCCCTGGGGTCCTTGGTGCTGATTCTCCAGGGTGAAAAGTCAAAGACATTTGAGCCCACCCACCTGCCCATAGTGTGGAATTGATGGCTTCTACTCTCATTACACTCGGCCATGATTCTTTTTTGAAGAAAATTCCTTATGTTGGTTTTGGAAAAGAAACTCACATGTTTGGTTCAGTTCTTTGCATTGTACTAGTGTTACACACAGTTTGAGTACAGAATGTATCTCTTTCCACACTGTGTCCTGTCTGTTGCACCAGTTTTGGCTCTGGAAGCATACTTACTGCATTTTCTCCCAGTAGGGTTCAGAGCTCTTCTCCTATGCTGACTTGTTTCACTGTTCCCAGCCCTGTGAGGAAAACACAAATGTGCCCATATTAGCAGTGAGGAAACTCAGGCACAGAAAGATTACCAGCTTATGAGAATCACATGCCTGGTGGCCTCAGACCCCTACCTCTGTAGCTGGGAATGTCTTCAAGGCTGTGATACAGATGCTTACACTCATGCTATCCTCTGGAGAACAAAGAGATGTCCCGCCCTGAGGAGAGTGAGTGTTGGGGGAGGAATGAAAAAGTAGCATACTCGGCTGGCCCATAGCTAGTCTGGGGCAGGTGTGACTCACTCCATTGGAGGGCAGGATTCTGGTGGAGGCCTGGGTGTTGCTTTGCCACTCATGTGTAGCTGACAGGAACAAAACTGGTTTCGCCCCCTTTGTGTTTCTTCATCCCCAAGCTGGCTGATGGTTCATGAGGCTTGCAACCCATAATTTACAGTAGGAGAGTTGGTGATGTATTTGAACTTAATAGATCAGCTCTTGTTGTTTTCACTCTGAAGTTGGCGTCCTCACTTATAAAGTTTGCTAATAAATCTAAGAAATGTGCTGCTTTGTATTTTGCTGCTTCAGAGTGAAGATCCTCAACTTCAAAGTTGCTCAGGCATTGTGTCCCTACTTTCAGAGTGAGCTTTTTTCCTCCACCCTTAACTTGTCACCTTCTTTTATTATATTTTTCGTATAGAAAGCTGGGTATCAAAAGTTTCTCTGTTTCCCAGTTCTGATACTACCTGTATGGGTGTTCATTGACCCAGACTGTGATTGTTTTCCTAATGAAAGGTACCTTACCTGTGAGGTGATCTGCAAAGGTGCCACCCAGAGTGTCCCTCAGCTCTCTGGGACTTCCAGATAATAAACCAGTGAAAACCGATGCCTTGGGAGGAGCTGACATCGGTTGAATGTTCCGGCAATATGAATTTGCTCTGCAGTGTTGCAAATTGAAATTCCACAGGGTTGTTTGCATCCTTTTCCGTCTAGAATAAACTTTCTGAATTTGTGTCTGCATATTGGATAAATCCTAGAAATCAAAAACAGCAGTGGGCTGGCAGAGTGGCTCAAGGGATAGAGCACCTGCCTAGCAAGCGTGAGTACAAGCCCCAGTACCACCACCACAAAAAAAAAAAAAAAAAAAAAAAAAAAGAAGTATTGATTCCTAAAGATAGGAGGTGCTGGCTTTAGAGAGCAAAGACATTAGGGTATTTTTCAGCTTCTTAAAAAGATAGGCACAAACTTTAATTCATGCCAACATAGCTTTTATAATCATGTACAGAAATAATAAGGTAGAAAGTGGGAGAAATAAGTTGGACTTTATTTTATCACTGAGCAGCTTGCTTGGCAATGTCTCTGAGCAGAGTCCAGGCTAGAGCCTACTGTCATGGTCGAGAGCCTCTACCCTACTCCAGGAAAAGGCATAGTGGCCTGTGTGCCCCTTGTACACATGGCTGACCGGCCCTCTGTGGCTGAGGTTTGTCGGTCCTCCCTGTGCTTCTGGGGATACTTCCAGTATTTCCCAGCCTGTTACTGGAAATCAGCTGCATTCAGTTGAGCCTTCTGGGCATAGTGACGTGTGTGTCTTCAACCCTGTGGTTGTGCTTGTTTCCCTCCCCGCCCCCAGTGGTACTAGGTCTTGAACTCGGGACCTTATGCTTTCTAGACAGGGGCTTTACCACTTGAACCAGGCAACGCTTTTTGCTTTTTTTGGTGGGGGGGGGCGGTACTGGGGTCTGAACTTAGGGCTTTGCGCTGCTAGGCAGGTGTGTAACCACTTGAGCTAGTTCTTGGTAACATTCTTGATATTAATGACACCAGCTGACATTGGTGCCCTTCTGTCTGCTGGCCAGCACCTCATAGGAAGTCTTTCATGAAAGCTTCATAGATGTGGCAAAGCTCTTCTGCTGTTATCCCATTTTATAGATGAGAGATTGTCCACACTCAGAAGTTGAGTAAATGGTGCCCAAGCATATAACCTGTAAGTGCCCTAGGTGGAATTAAACCCTAGCCGCTGGGGGCCAGAGCTGGCACCCTGCTTCCCACGTTCCCAAGGACACTGCATAATATGGAAAATGCATAAGGTACGCCGTGCTAAGTTAGCAGATGCTTCGGAGCACCTTAAGTTAGGTGCGGTATCAATTTATACGAGACCACTAAAAATTGGAGGCAGTGGGTGTCTATGTGGAGCAAAGGACGAATGCGAAGAAAGCACAGGTGTGATGTGATTCCATCCGTTCACGTGAAGTTGCACATGTGGATCTGGTTTAAAGAGACTCGTGTGTAATGAGGCCTCAGGTGATTTTTATATTTTTAACATGTCGCTGGGCATGGTAGTGCACACCTGTCCCAGCACTTGGGAAGGCAGGAGGATCTCAAGTTCCAGGCTAGCCTGGGAGATACATATATATACATGCATATATATATATGTATGTGTGTGTATATATGTATGTACGTATGTATATGTATATATATAGAGAGAGAGAGGGAAAAGCAAGACCCTGTCTCAAGAAAAATATTAGATACTAATAAAAAACATTTAAAAGAAAGGAAAGTAATTAACATGTTCCCCAGCACCATCAAAAAAGAAAAATGAGCATGTCATTCTTACCACAATAGGGAGCTAGTTATTGCCAAAAAAATAGATTGAAGCCAAGTGTGGTGTATACCTGTTATCCCAGCACTCTCAAGGTGTAGGCAAGAGATCATGAATTCCATGCCAGCCTGGGCTACATAGTGAGACCTGTCTCAAAAAGCCAAAAATATGACTGGGATGTGCCCCAAATGGTAGAACGCCTGCCTAGCAAGCATAAGGTCCCAAGTTCAAACTCCGGTATCACAATAAATAAATTCAGATGTAAGAGGAACTCATGTAGTGTCCGTGTTTTTCAAAAGCTGTCTATATAGCCAAGATCTGGTGACTCATCCTTGTAATCCTTGCTACTTGGAAGGCTGAGATCAGGAAGATTTCAGTTTGAGGCCAGCCTGGGCAAATAGTTAGAGAGACCCCCCGCTTGCCAAAAAAAAATGTATATATGTATGTATATATATATATATGTATATCCAGAGCAAAATGGACTTGGAGGTGTGGCTCAAGCGTAGAGCACATGTGTTGCAAATGAAGCTCTGAGTTCAAACCTCAGTCCCAAGAAAAAGAAAAGAAATAAAAGTGTCTGTAAAGTTGCAAGTGAAGGGTATGAGTGGCTGAGCACAATTGACACTTGAGAGGCAGCAGGTGTGGTTTTGTGTTCAAGGTTCCCTGAGGAGCAGTTGGGAAGATGCGTCTGCCCTTGAATATGCTGAATATGCTGTCTCGCGCACAGGCTTTTGGGCTGTGTGTTCTGCTGACTAGAGCCTTCTTTTTGAGAACAACATAGAATGTGGGTTTTCTCAGCACAGTTTGATGGACAGGACACCTCTGGGCCTTTTTCATTTCTCAGGTGAAGCAGACAAGATAGTGCTCAGATCTCATTTGCACAACAGGGCACCATAGCTCTGTGGCCACCCCTTCTTTAGAACATGGGGCGCTGCTCTGGAAAGCTGTAGGTGGTGGCTCTTGGTAGTGGCATCACAGTGAAGATATGAGTTCCAGGCTTTGATCTCCAGGCTTCTTAGCACCAGCTCCTTTGGGCACTTTACAGAGGGGTCCATCTCTGTAAAGTGAGGGGTCCATTCCTACCCAGGGATAGTACCTGATCCTTCTGCAGCCAACTGCTCTTAATCAAGAGTGGGGGTACTAGAACCATGTCTCCTGGGTGCTCAGTGAGGTTTTGCCTTCATCACAGCATCTTTCCATATCCTGTCAAGGTGACGTTCGCAAGCCTTAGGGTGTCTGTGAATGCTACATTCTCTCTCTTCTGTGGCCTGTAGTCTGCAGAGACAAAGGGTATGATATCAGTTTACGTTTGTCCTTTAGGTTTTTAACATTTTAAGTCTAAAACAATCAAGTGCTTGCTTTTTTTTTTAACCTTTGCCCTCCTTGAGCTGGCCCTTGCCAGCTGTCAGACGCTGCCTCCGTTGCTTAGGATCCGAACAGCTCAGCAGATTCCCAGTCTTACCCGTTAGTGGAGCAGGTGTCCCACAGGCTGTCACATGCATTCACACAGCCACTTCCAATGGCTGTTGGAAGTGCTGAGGCACAGAGGGTGCCATTGTTGCAAGAATGTACCCCTGTGCTTTTTGAGGTCCAGAAATGCTACGGATGATCTCTTTGGTGTTATTTTATGCAATAAGAAAGTCAGATAGATGTGTCTCTTTGGTTTCCACAGCCACTCTGACCTACGACACTCTCCGGTTTGCTGAGTTTGAGGATTTCCCTGAGACTTCAGAGCCTGTTTGGATCTTGGGCAGAAAGTACAGCATTTTCACAGGTACAGGCCTCCCTGGAGCCACTCCACTCTGCTTCTGCAGAAAGCATCTTGTGATAGTGATTGCTGTCTGCTGACTCTCCCATGATATCTGACTTACAAACTGAAGGCTTTGTGTGTGTGTTCCTCTTTTCAACAACCCCTAGAGAAGGACGAGATCTTGTGTGATGTGGCGTCCAGACTGTGGTTTACATACAGGAGAAACTTCCCAGCCATTGGTAAGTACCGCACTTTTCTACAACCTAGGACAACATATGCATGGTTCAGGAAGGAGGAAAACTTAGACTTAAAGATCTGGAGCTGGGCTCAAGTGGTAGAATACCTGCCTGGAAAGCACAAGACCATGAGTTCAAACTCCAGTATGACAAAAAACAAACAAAAAGAAAGAAAAAAGAAACCTTATGCTTAAGAGTTTTGATTCCAGAGTGCCAGACACCTCGATTTATCCCTGTACCAACCGTGGGTAAATAAAATGCCTGAGGTCTCACACCCAGTAGTGGGCAGAGCTGGACTCCAAACCTAGGCTCTTGATTATAGATGGGCAGTGATTTTCTGCCTGCAAGCCATAGCTTGTTACTGGAGCTTGAAGTTAGCCTCGTGGATAGTGACAGCACTGTAAACATGTACAGTAGAACAGAATATGAAGGAGAGTGTTAGTCTAATAGTAAGCTAGCATGTTGATTTGGAGACTTAGGCTTTAGTTTGTGTATTTGAGTGTGTCTTGGGTCCCTCTGTACAATGTGTTTCTTGTCAAGTCTAGAATGTTCAGAAGCCATTGCTCTATATCTGTCATTTTCTCTAGTGTATTCCAGCCTTAGCTATGGGCAGATTGAAGGGCAAGGTGAAGTGACATGTTTTCATGTGACATTAAAGTTCATTCTATTAGGACTGTCAAGAGTGGCTCAAGTGATAGAGCACCTGCCTAGCAAGCGTGAGGCCCTGAGTTGTCAAAACCCCCCTTCCTCTGCAAAAAAAAAGTGATTCTTCATCATTGTGTGCCCTGGACGTGGGTGAAAGTCAAGAGAGACCAGGTCTCAGCCTTGCCTTTTTTTTTTTTGGTGGTGCTGGTGTTTGAACTCAGGGCCTCACACTTTCCTAGAAGGTGCTCTACAATCAGTCTTGCCTTTTTCAACCCAAGATTAGGGATCAGGCTGACATTTTACACTCCCTTAGTGGCCAGGTCAAGAGTCAGTTCCTGCCATGGGTGGCCTTTCATCCCTTCTTCAAAAGTGATCAGGCCTGCTGGCCTGATATTTTAGAACACTGAAGTGTGGAGAAATAAGATCACCGTCTCCACAGGTGAACGTTTTGTCAGGTGTGGTTTGGGAATAGTGACTCATTCCACAGATACCTCGATCACACCTTCTCTGAGCCTGCTTCTGTGTGGCCCTGGTCCATAGTGACCACTCTCAGAGTGCAGGGAAGGAGACCAGGGCAAGAGAGACACTTTGGTCACTTGATTAGTTGTGGAGGAGACAGAGGTGAGGTTTCATGGACAACACAGTCCATCATGGACCTCGAGGCTTAGTGTGGCATGTGACCTCTGTGCCTGCAAAGATGACTTGCTTGTATCAGAAGTGGTGTGAGAGCCAGCTGCTGTTGGCTCACACTGTAATCCTGTCTACCAAGGAGGCAGAGATTAGGAGGATTGTGGTTCAAAGCCAGCCTGGGCAAATAGTTCATGAGACCCTATCTCAAAAAATACCCAATACAAAAAAGGGCTGGTGGAGTGGCTCAAGTGGTAGAGCGCCTGCCTAGTAAGCATGAGGTCCTGAGTTCAAACCTCAGTGCCGCAAAAGAAAAAAAAAAGTGTGGGAGCTCTTGCCTGGCATGCACAAGGCCCTGAGTCCAAATCCCAGTACCACAAAAAAAAAAAAGTAGTGTGAGGGTGATGGCACACATGCCCTCTTTGCTGCCCAGGTGGCTGGACTTGTTGTCCTGTGTGGGAGGAGCCGCCTCAGGTGCAGGGTGGGAGGGCAGGCCAGGCCTGCAGGCCTAATGCTTCTCCTCTCCTCCACCAGTAAGCAGTTCCACCCCTGCCCTTCTTCCTCGTCACGGCTGCACAGTGGCATTCCACTGACATGCACACGTCTGTCACGCTGTGCATATTGTCTTTCTAGGCCCCAGTGAGTGGACATGAAGTGGTGGGGACCAGTGCATGGTGCTTACAGGCAGCAAATGACCGCAGTCCATACTCAGCGTTGTGAAGCCTCTGAATCTTTGCCTCTCCAGTAGTTGGAAAAAGGTTTTCCTGTTACCCTTGTGTTTTCTGGATTATTCCTGAGGTAGTCGTATGTTAACATGCTTGTCAGCTGTTCCTGTTGCTCATGACTGACTTGTTCATGTATTTTGGCACCTCAAGGGGTCATCAGAAGCCAGGTGCCAACAACTTATGCCTGTAATCCTAGCTACTTGGGAGGCTGAGATCAGGAGGATCAAGATTTGAGGCCAGCCTGGGCAAATAGTTTGTGAGACTCCATCTCCAAAATAACCAGAGCAAAATGGACTGGAGGTGTGGCTCAAGTAGTAGAGTGCCTGCTTTGCAAGCATGAACTCCTGAGTTCAAACCCCAATTCCACCAAAAGAAAGGGATGGGGTTGTTAGGATGCACCACTGCCCCGCAGGTGCACGGGGAGTGGCACTGAGTCCTCAGTTATGCTTTGCCTGAGGTGTAGCAGACACTTGGGGGTCAGTGCCATGTGTGGAACCAACCCCTTGCCTCCTGGGGCTGACCTCCTGCCCTCCAGGCCTCTCCTGGGGCCTTTGATCATGCATGCTTCTCTCTTTGTCCACCACGACAGGGGGAACTGGCCCCACATCAGACACAGGCTGGGGCTGCATGCTGCGTTGTGGACAGATGATCTTTGCTCAGGCCCTGGTGTGCCGGCACTTAGGCCGAGGTGAGTCACAGTACTTGCGAGGGCCGTGGTAAGGGGTGTTTCGAACACATCACAGGCAAAAGTAGAATTTGGGTAATGATACACTGATTTTCATTGATTAGAAAACTGATTTTAAAGAATGCTGATAAGCTTATTTTTTAGACATTATCTTTAAACCACTCAACTGTTTTCTGCTTTCTGGATTTGTTTTGATGAGTTGGTATATGCACATTTGAAATTCTGACAAATTTGGTTTTTAACTTTGGAAAGGTTCAAAAAGGTTTTGGAGACTGTCTCAGTCTTGAGCATAGTGTAAAAGGAGGACTTATTTCTTGTGTTTGGTCACACTGATCTCCTGCATTTGTTTCCAATAGATTGGAGGTGGGCACAACGGAAGAGGCAGCCTGACAGCTACTTCAGCGTCCTCAGTGCTTTCCTCGACCGGAAGGACAGCTACTACTCCATCCACCAGATAGGTGGGGCCCGTGTGTGAGCCAGGCCTGACTCTGTAGAGAACAGTCTCTGGGTCTCCCCTGGGAGCTTTTCTGGTCTCGTGGCATTGGAGGATGAGGCTTTAGGTCACTCTGGCCTCTATCTAACCCATTTTAGCTTCTGTGGGTGTTCCAGCACCAGCTCAGACTCCAGACCCTCCCTTCCCCTGTACTGCCTGTGGTGGTCACTGCCTAGTGCCAAGTCTGTGAGAACCAAGCTCCATCTCAGAGGTTCTCTCTCCTCCTGAGGGTGGGTGTCCTGTCCAGACTTTTCTGTGAAGTGTTTCCTGATGCACAGGTATCAGAGGTGGAGCAGGGGTGTTGGGTGTCAGGAGAGGGTGTGTGTTGCTAATCCAGGTTTGTTTCCTGCAGCGCAAATGGGAGTTGGCGAAGGCAAGTCTATAGGCCAGTGGTATGGGCCGAACACTGTCGCCCAGGTGCTCAAGTACGTACTGAGCCCCATCCCTTCCGCTTCTCTAGGGCAGTGCAAGTTCTCCTTGGCCTTTACATTCTCCTTGAGTATTGCCACAGAGATAAGGGGTTCTGATTCTTTGCATACGTGCTCTGGACGGTCCTTGAGATGATTGTGTGGAGTGGTCTTGTGAATGGGATTCATATGTTCAGATGAAATGAATGTTAACCCAGGGCATGGCTCTTGGATGGCCCTGTTGTCTGGCACATGGATCTTGCTATAATGGTGGTTCCTGAAGTCTTGAACCACTGTGGTTCTGGTACTCTTTCACATGTGCTGTGGCCTTCCACCTCTGAGTTTGTCAAAGACACCCACATGGGAATGCTCGCCCTCCTTGCATTCAGGATGGATTGGACTTCACTTCATATGAGTCCCTACCATCCTCCATCCCCCTCCCCCATGCACCTTAGTTTCTACTTAGTCTGCCCCTGCCTTTTCTCTTGCCTTACTTGTTTTGAGGGATGTTTGCTCCTTTGGACACCCTGGAACTATGAATTCCTCTAAAATGACTCTTCTTGTAGTTTCCAGGGACTTGCCACTTCTCCATCCTCAACCCCTCAGACTCGTTTGGCCCAATTCTCCCTTCCCTATGGCTGCTGTCCCAGCATTTCTAAGGGGCTATGGGCCAGTGCCCCAGGATTCATGCATCCAGGCCCTCTTCCTTGCTGGGCTGAGGCCTGACATCTCTGACATCTGTCTCCAACTGTGGCTTCCCCTCGAAGTCCCACCTTTTGCAGCTGTTTGCTCTGTACCCCACTTAAGGGCCCATGGTGTTGGCCACTCCCTGTAGGGACTTCGATTCTGTGGCTGTTCAGAGTGTGACAGTGCAGGGGAGGGCTGCTCAACATGGTAGGCCTTACCTGCCTCCAAGCTGGAAAAAGCTGTGTGTCTAAGGCCCAGGTTCATGTTTGGGTCTTGCCACTGTGTCTCCCTCCTGCGCCCCACACTCGCACACTCGGGGCTCTCGTGTACTCTTTCTCCTCAGGAAGGGCAGGTTGCAGTGCCCCAGGTGAGGAGGAACATGGGTCCATTCTCAGCTTGCTTCCTGTCTGAAGAGCTGGATGTGCCCTTGACTTGCTGAGACTTGGTCTTTCCGCTCAAGGAGCTGCTATAATACTGAAGCCCATGATTATTGCTGTGAAGGTGCAATGCCTGAGTTGTAGATGGCTCACGGGTGTGTCTCCCACTTTCTGTAGGAAGCTTGCTGTGTTCGACACGTGGAGCTCATTGGCTGTTCACATAGCCATGGACAACACTGTGGTGATGGAGGAAATCAGTAAGTGGCTCGGGGTTTCACCTGACAAGACGGAGGAATTGTGGGTGACACGTTTTCCCTGCTGAGCCCACTAAGGCGCCTCAGCTGGAGAGTTGTGAGTCTCAGAGCAGCGCTATCCTCCTCTGTGGTTGGAACAAGGTCACACCTGGTGACCTTGTTCCCTTACCGTTTAGACCAGGCTAAGGGAGGAGGGCCTAGGTTCCCTCCAGTTGTGAGTTATTTACTAACCCTGTCATTTTTGTGTCTATTACAGATAATGTGTTAGGCTCATAATCTCAGCACTAGGGAAGTTGAGGTAGAAGTATCGCTTGAGTCTAGGAGTTTGGGGCCAGCCAGGGCAACAAAGTAAGACTGTCTCAAAAAACCCATAAGAAGACCAGTAAGCAGTGTGCTAAAGTATGCTGTGTTCGTTTGCACTCTGCTCCTGCCTAACTGCCTTTGTGTGTGTTCATGCACCTCAGTGAGATGCCAGGCAGCCTTTGAGCTACCCTGTCTCAAGCAGAGGCATCACGTGAAGGAAGTGCTTCACTCTGTCAGCTTTCTGGAACGAAGGCCCCCAGAAACCTAAAGGGACCCAGGCGTGCCAGAGTTGAAGTCTAGAAGGAAAGCATGGCTCAGCTTCAGCAGCTGGCCTGGTTGAGGAAGCTTCCATCCCGTCATTGCAGCCATAGCAACATTGCTCCTCTACTTAGTGCACCCTCACATTTTACTCAGCTTCACTTTCCCAAAACATTTTCTCAGAAAGCCACTTCAGGGACTGGTACAGTGGCCCAGGTAGGTAGAGCACCTGCCTAGCAAGCATGAGACCATGAGTTCAGTCCTTAGTGCTACTAAAAAATAAGCTACTTCAAGCCCAGTTGTATTGGTGTGCTGGCCATCGAGGAGCAGCATTGATTCCACAGCTGGGAACGCTCTTCTGGAGCAAGCTTTCTTTTCATGCCTCTGTTCCTCAGAGATGATAAACCTGAGACCCTAGTGGAAGAGGGTGTTCCTTCCTCCTGCCTTTTCCCTTACTGTTTATCAAAATTTTTGTAAAATTTGGGAAAATTACAAAGAAAAAGTCAGATTTTACCACTCAGAACCCATATTAATATTATGACACTGGAAGGAAGTGTTCTCATGCTTTTCAAAAACTTACATGGGACCAGGCTCTGGTAGCTCATGCCTATGAGCCTAGCTTCTTGGGAAGCTGAGATCCAGAGGATGGAGGTTCGAGGCCAGCCTGGGAAAATAATTAGCGAGACTCCATCTCCAACATAACCAGAGCAAAATGGAGATGTGGCTCAAGCGGCATAGCACCTGCTTTCCATCTGACTTCAAACCCCAGTCCCAACAAAACAAAACTTTACATAGTATAAGTGTTTTTTCCTGACAACGAAAACGTCATAACCATCTTCCTAACTGGTGACATAGTAGACTATTGTGCCTTGATTCCTTTTTCCCCAGTGTTGGGGAAATCAGTCACTTTGTCACCCTTCACTCTTCTCAGATCTAGCTAGCCACACTCAACCCTCGCTTCGGACAAGGGAGGCTGCTTGTCCTGGAAGCCATGGGAGGGGACTGTCCTGTCGCCTCAGGCTTGACTGGACAGTGCTGCCGGACTGATGAGTCCACGATCCAGTTCTTGTCAGATTCTGGGGGAGGCCTAGTTTTGCTTTTTACAGCTCCCAGGGACACGGGAGCTTCCTTGATGGTGACCAGGCCCAGTGAAAAAGTAATACTCATTACAGAGACAAAAGCAAGATTATTTAAATTTTTTTTTATTTTATTGTTTTTATATTTACTCACGTGTGTATACATTGTTTGGGCCACCTTGCCCCACCCTTAACCCCTTCCCCACTTCCAGGCAAATAGATCCAGTTCTGACCAAGCACACTGAGGCTGAAGGCAGGCTAGCATGCCTGAGCGCGGTGTAGTATGCTGAAGGATAACCTAGGGTACTTCTGATGGCCATCAGTAAAGACAAGTAGCAAGCTGCTGTTTTATCCCACCAACAAAAGTTGCCCAAGGTAGCTAGCATATAGAGACAGCACCAAGCCAAGAGCTGAAGAGACAGTGCCTTGGCCATGGAGGAGTTTTTGCTTCTGATCTCAGAACTACCTATGCAAGGGTCAATTAGGGAAAACTGATGATGTTCAGAAGTCCAGCCAGTACCACCTTCGTTCTGTGAGAGCTGGCAGCAGTCCCACTCAGGTTAGGTTAAGTTGCTGGGCAAGGGGAAGCCTTGCTGCTTGGAATGTCACTGCCACCCTCCCACCTACCTGTCCTTCCATCCATTCCCACTGCCAAAGGCCAACCCAGATGTCCCTGGCCTTCAGTGTTCAAAGATTTAGGCCTTTATAAACACACCAAACAGTGGCAGGCCTCTAGATACAGGAAGAAATTGCAGGCTAGAAAAGTTACCAGTTAGCAGTGAGTATAAACGACCTCAGTGAAAGAAAATTAAATACCAGACAAGAACAGTGGAGCAGAGGAGTGGGGAGAGAACCAAGATTAAAAAATTAAGCTCCCTGAGAGTGGTGGTTCAACAAAAGAGGTGGTTTAAGCTGAATGTGTGCAGTGGAAATTTCCAAAGGAATATAAGAAAGTTCCACTAAGTTGCTAAGAGTTGTCTTTAGAGCTAAAGACCCCATTTTTAAAAAATCAAAACTACTTAAACATACATGTTCCTGCTATTTCCAAATTGCAAAAGTAGAAACTTCTATAAGCATCCAAATAACATAGTAATGCTAAGCTTTGAAGAAAGGTGACCCAGATTGGTCCCAGGATTTCTTCCTGCCTCACAGAGGTTCCCAGACTTGTTGGGCACTGGGGGCTCACACTTGGAACCTTAGCTGATTTCGAGGATCATGGTTTGAGGCCAGCCTGTGCAAATAGTTTGCAAGACCCCATTTCCAAAACAGCCAGAGCAAAATGGATTGGAGGTGTGGCTCAAACTCAGGGCTTTGCAAGTGCAAAAGTGCAAAGCCCTAAGTTTGGTGGACCAAAAAAAAAAAAGAAATGGTTTCCAGAGAGTACTCAGAACTCTGAGAAAAATGCCTAGTGTCATGAGGTGCAGATAGGAATATTAATTGCCTAATCATCTCAATAAAAGAAATAGAAATTCTACAAGTAAAGGAAAGAGTGGGTTGCACATGTGCTCAAGTGGTAGTGTGCCTAGCAAATGTGAGACCCTGAGTTCAAACCTCAGTACTGAAGGAAGAAAAAAAAAAAAAGTAAAAGGAGCCCTAGGGATTACAGAGTGGTTCCAGTGGCCAGTGAACCCTTCTTCTAAATAGGGCATTTGGAATGTCAGTGGCCACACACCAGTGGAGTTCCCAAGAGTGCAGAGTAACAGGATCTGTGCCTGGTCTCTTCCTCAGGCAGAGGAGGTCTGTGCGAGAGGTAAAGGCCTTGTCACCAAGGAGAGCACCATCACACTGGAGCTTTGCCTAAAGTCAGCAAGGAGCAGTCCTCAGTAAATAGAGAATTTACAACATCAGATCTGCAGAGTAGACACAGAGGACCAAACAACACAGCGTTTTGTAGAGACACATCAAACTCTGTGTGTGTGTGTGTGTGTGTGTGTGTGTGTGTGTGTGTGTGTGTGTGTTTGGTAGTACTGAGATTTTGTTTTTTGTTTTTGGTGGTTCTAGGTTTGAACTCAGGGCCTCATGCTTGCTAGGCAAGTGCTCTACAACTTGAGCCACACTGCTAGTCCTTTTTTGTGTTGGGTATTTTCGAAATAGGGTCTCACGAACTATATGCCAGGGCTGGCTTCAAACTGCAGTCTTCTTGATCTCTGCCTCCTGAGTAGCTAAGATAGCAGGTGAGTGCCACCAGACCCAGCCAGCACTGGGGTTTGAACTCAGGTTCACGCTTGCAAAGCATGTACTCAGCTGCTTGAGCCACACCTCCAATCTACTTTGCTGTGGTTATTTTGAAGGTGGAATTGCACAAACTGTGCTCAGGCTGGCCTTGAACTGCAGTCCTCCTGATCTCAGCCTCCCAAGTAGCTAGGATTACAGTGTGAGCCACTGGTGCCTGGCTCAACCTATGTTCTGATGGCAGAATGTGGTTGTTTTTTTTTTTTTTAGAGAAAAGGGTAGAACTAATAAATTCTAAACTGATTCTTAGCAACAATAATGTGTTTAGAACTTAGAGAGTTGGGGGCTGGACGCGTGGCTCAAGCGATAGAACACCTACCTTGCAAGTGCAAAGCCCTGAGTTCAAACCCCAGTACCGCCAAAAAAAAGTTAAACAGCTAGAGACAAAAGAAAGTTAAATCTCCTTCCCTTTTAAGTCCTTTTTTTCCTCTCCATTTTGAGAAATTTCAGTTCTACAAAAAAGTTCAGTGAAGCCTGGCACTGGTGGCTCATACCTGGAATGCAGATCAGGAGGATTAAGGTTCGAAGCCAGCCAGGGCAAAAATGAAAGTAGGGCCCGATCTTAAAAATACCCAACAGAGAAAAAGGCCAGCAGGGTGACTCAAGGAAGGGGTAAAGTACTTGCCTAGCAAGCCTGAGGTCCTGAGTTCAAAAAAAAAAAAAGTTCAGTGAATAAGCACTTTCAGTCTCCTGAAGAATCCAGTTCAGTTAATGTCCTGTTCTCCACACTGGATTTGTCTGTTTCCTCAGGATTAGATTTGGGGGGTAAACATTTTGGCTAAGCAAACCACTTTGTGTGTGTCCTCAGTCATCTGTCAGTCCATAAGTCAGTGTGTTCCATTGTCAGTAATGCTATGCTGGATCATCTGGGAGAAAGTTATCTCTGTTTTAATGGTACCTTTTTCCTTGCAATTAATGAGTAACCTGGGGGAGAGTAGCTAGGATTATAGGTGTGTACCACCAGCGCCTGGCTTCCCCTCCTTTTTTCAGCATCCTTGGATTATAGATTCATGGACATTGTGAGTATCAGCAGTGATAATTATAGTGTCCTGCATTTGGCCTGAGATACCCTTTTGGGCTAACCCAGTCTTTGAACATGTTGTGTTTGTGTGTTGAGTGGGGCCTATTTCTGGCATTAGTGAGATACTCCCAGCTCCTCCTGTGTGCTCCGGATCAGCCCTGCCTGCTGGGAGCAAGGGATGGTGTTGCTGCTGGAATCTCCTCCCCACACCAGACCCATAGTTTGTGCATTTGTTGAGGGTGTACTTGATGCATTTATATAGCAGAAGAGAAGGAAGAGGAAAGTTGTTGCTTGATTCCCTTCTTGATGAGGAGGGATCTGGGTAAGTGTCTTTGGCCAGGCTGGTGGCCACGTGGATACTTACTTTTTATTTTTTCTCTAAAGTGCATGAGTTTTTCTTGCACTATTATTGTGTATGTGCTTTGTTTCAAATAGTTTTTTACTTGAGCATGCACAGAATATGTTTCTGTCTGAGTAGCAGAATTGTGGGAATTTTTTCTGTTTTTCAAGTTTGAAAAATAGCAGTTGGCTATTTTATATCTTTTCATCTACACAATGCTGATTTGCTTGTTCCTTGGGGAACGTGTGGCCCATGCAAAGCCATCTTCCCCTTCAGGAAGGTTGTGCCGGGCCAGCCTTCCCTGCGCAGGGGCCACCGCATTTCCTGCAGATGCTGAACGTCACTGTAACGGGTTCCCTGTTGGAGCTGAGGTCACCCACAGGTCATCACCCTGGAGACCCTTGGTACTTCTCATCCCCCTGCGCCTGGGGCTCACAGACATCAATGAGGCCTACGTGGAGACGCTGAAGGTGGGTCTTGAAAGCGGCTCTTGCCCTGAGCCCTTCCCTCCAGTCAGTCCTCAGTCACCTTCAGCATGAGGTCAGTGGCTCTGGGGAAGAGCGTCAGCAACCATTCTGCCAAGAATCAAGAGAAGCAGGAAAGGCCTTAATCTTACAGAGATGTGCAGAATTTTAACATTGGGAACTTCATAAGGGGCCCTCAGTACCAGTTGTCGAGTTTCCCAGGTCTCTGTTGGGCCCCAGGCACCCTCCCCTGCTGCCCTCAGGCCCCTCTGGAGGGTGGGTAGACCCATGAGGAAGGGGTCTGCAGGAAGGGTCTGAGGGTGACTGATGGCGGCTGACATCCCTCAAGAACTCCATCCACCTGCCACTTTGATCGTCCCCCCACCTGCATCCCAGAAACAAAAGGCAAAACCCTCCTTGGAAGCTTCGTTTAACTCAGATTTCAGATCAGGGAGTCACACTTGAGATCCTCACCATATGGAACAGAAAATGCTGCCTCTTGTTAAAATTCTTCACTTGTCAAGGAAAACAAATCTTGTCTTAGTCTCATCTCCTCCCTTCAGCTCTCTTGCCCACCCTTGAGGTCTGGCCACCCCTGGTGTGGTCCCGGTGTCAGCTCCTTTGTCTACTTGCTTCTCACCTACCTCTCATTGCCTATGACTTGCCTGTATTTCCATTTCTACTGCCCCATCTGGTCAGATCACATCCTGCCATGCTTCCTACATCTACATCTGCTACCTCCCCGTCCCATTTGCGCCTGCCTGCTCTGTGCAGGCTGCTCTCTGGCCCCTTACTCTCCTTTCCTGAGGCATCGCAAACACAGCTTTGAACCTGTGTGGTGCACTGTGGTTGCACCAAAACTTGGAGCTCAAGGGATGTCTTTTTATCTGTGTTACTTCTATGGCATGCCTGCTGATTGGAGGGACTCCTGCCTGCATGCCACATTGTGGTGTCTGTTCCTGTCTGGGGGCACCCTCCTGGCATGCCATCAGCAGGGCCAAGGTGCTCAGTGGCCTCCCCTCTTCCTCTCTCCTGCAGCACTGTTTCATGATGCCTCAGTCCCTGGGCGTTATTGGAGGGAAGCCCAACAGCGCCCACTACTTCATTGGCTACATGGGTGAGTTGGGGTCCTAGTGATGCTCTGTCTGCCTGTAGGTGTGGACTTAAGGGTTTCCTGAGGAGCAGTGCTGCTACCTCTCCTAACTCTACATGACCCACCATGGTGTCATGCACTGAGGGCTCCTGTGAGGGGCCCTGCTTCCTAGCGCCCATACACTGACTGACTCATACGGCTTCCTGTGCATTCCCTTTCCTTGACATTCTGCTTCCCACCCTGTTACCTGCCTGCCATATCTCAATATGACATGTCCAGTTAATCTGGCTTTGGTGTGGTGGGTCTGGCTGTGGCCCCCATGTGTGCTGGTCAGGCCAGGTGCCTTCTGACTTCTCCACTGTCTTGCTTAGGTGAGGAGCTCATCTATCTGGACCCCCACACAACGCAGCCAGCAGTGGAGCTGACTGACAGCTGCTTCTTCCCTGATGAGAGCTTCCACTGCCAGCACCCTCCCTGCAGGATGGGCATCGGGGAGCTTGACCCATCCATTGCTGTGGTACGTCCTGACTGCATGAGCTCCTAGGCAGCTGTTCTGAGTCACTTTTTTGATCACAAAAAGTAAAACCTTCAGATTTTTGTAGTTCTTCCAACATTTCCAGTGTTGCCCTCACAATGATTTAGAATCCTAAGGCCATGAAAGAGCTAACAGTGTCTTCCAGCCCTCATATCTTTCTCAGATACCATCTGCCATGGTGGGTAACAGTGTGTGCATAGGTGAGAGTACAGGGCATGTTTCCTTACTTTTTTTGGGGGGGTGTGGTACTGGGGTTCCCCCACTCTTTAAGCACAGTGAATGGCAGCCTGCTAGACTCACGTGTCTGCACTGCTCCTTCATTCTGTTGTTTTTTACTTAGTATATCTGGGAAATGGCTCCTTAGAATAAGCTTCCTAGTCTCCCTTTTGGATTCTGTACTTGAAATTTTTGGTATTTGAATTATGCAAACCTGCCTACTCTCAAAATGTATTTGGGGAAGGAGGCCAAAACAAAACCATAAAAACAGTGCTGTCCTCCAAGGTCCTCACCTCTTGTCACGGGCTCCGCAGCATGGACTCTCCTGCATTGATGGAGAACTGGGCAAGTCTGGTTCCAAATGAGAAAGTTGTAGACAGAACCCAGGGCACACTCTGCCACAAGTGCCTGTCAGATTCCAAGGACAGAGATGAGAATGAGAAAGGTAGGCTGGAGCTCTGTGGCTCACAACCTACTTGTGAATTCCTCCTCTAACTAAAATTAAGTACATCTGCTAAAGCGAATGCATCCCAGTAGGTCGTAGTGATCAGTACTCACACTAAGGTCTAACTAGACAGCAGCCACTGTGGCAGAAGTGGGTGGACACATGGAGACCAGAAGGTACAGAGTACTGGGCTTAAAGCTGCAGGCTGAGCTTTCTGTCTTTTTTGTTTGTTTTGTTTTTGTTTGGTTTGTTTGTTTGTTTGCAGTACTTGGGTTGAACTCAGGACCTCATGCTTGCTAGGCAGGCGCTCTACCACTTGAGCAATGCCCCCAGACCTTTCAGCTTTGGTTATTTTTGAGATAGGGATAGGGTCTCACTTCATGCCTGGGTTGTCCTGGACAGTGGTCCTGCAGAGCTGGGACCACCACACCCAGCTTTTTTTATTGGTTGAGATGGGGTCTCAAGGAGTTTTTGCTTGGGTTGACCTTGACCCATGATCTTCCCAGTCTCTGCCTCCTGAACAGGAGTACAAGTTTGAACTACCATGCCTGGCAAGTGTGAGCTTTTGGGAACTGGGGCCAAGAGGAACAGACAGTGGAATAACTTCCCCGTTCCCACCATGGGGAGAGAAGCAGTGCAGCAAGTGACACTAGTTTTTCGTTTCCAAGTGAAGTTTCCATGCATCTACCAAAGCATGGGTAGGCTGGCAGAGTGGCTCAAGTGGTAGAGCACCATGAGGCCCTGAGTTCAAACCCTAGTTCTGCAAAAAAAAAAAAATAGTGTCCAGTGTTTCTTACTATCAGGCCCACTTTCTGAGTGGTACAGTTGTGGTGTCTTCAGAACAACTCTTGGTAGCTTTTGTTGCTGAGCTTCTAGGGAGATCCTGGGTTGAGACCAAATCTGGCATCCACTTCCTCTGTCACGTCAGAGAGAGAAGAGGCTCTCTCCACTATGTCTTTTTGAATTCTCACAACCTGCCTCATTCCCAGAAAATACAGTGAAGCTTCAAAAAAATGTACAAAACACATCTTATGGGTAAATCAAGGCCGAGGGAGAGAGTTGAGTAATGCCCTGGATGCAGAGAGCCGTGCAGAAGACAGCTGGATTTGGGGTCTAAGTGCATTTGGGGTTGCTGGGGGTGGTGGCCACTGCTGCATCCTGGCAGCAGGAACGGAGACCCCAGCCTTCAGGTCACTACAGGCATGGTCACTGTCCTTACGGTCATTTTCATTTTAGGGGTTTTTCTGTAAGACTGAGGATGACTTTAACGACTGGTGCCAGCAAGTCAAGAAGGTATGTAACTGCTGTCCAGAGTCAAGCTGAAATTCCTGGGGACACCGGCAGTAGGGCAAGCAGGGGTGAAGGCATAGCCTGGCCTGGGACCCTGATCACTGTGAGGTCACCTGGGGAGTTTTGTTCCTGCCTTATAGCTGGGCAGGCTGAATAGAGCAGGTTATCCCATGTGCATTCCAGGGCAGTTGCTTCTGGCTTTGTGGGATGATTACCCTTCTTGGGGATGGACATTGCACGTTAGCTTTAGGGTTTTGAGCCCCCTTATCCATCTCGTTGGTATGAGGTGGTGGGGAGCTGTTTCTTGAAGGCTGCCACTCTGCCAAGTGCCTGCTGCCCTCCTCCCTCAGCCTCCTGTTTAGACATGACTGATGGCATAGAAGCGCCAGTGGGGCACCATGTTGGGTTCTGCTGTAGCCTTTAGTGTTATGTGAAATGGGATAACAATAGTGTTTACCCCATGGCTGTGGCCAGCTGGTCCTTCTTGGCTGTGGTGACCTCGGGGGGCTGTAGTGACCATTGGTGTACATCTGACAGCTGTGTTTTCACTGATAGCTGTCACTGCTTGGAGGTGCCCTGCCCATGTTTGAACTGGTGGAGCAGCAGCCTTCTCACCTGGCCTGCCCTGATGTCCTGAACTTGTCCCTAGGTGAGTGCTGAGGTCACTGGACTGAATAAGGTGGGGGACCCCACCTGATCTCTTGTCTTGGTGCACGTGGTCTGTGTCACCTTGTGCTCCCAGGTCATGGTCTCTTGCTTTTGACTATTAAGGTTTGAATGTCCCAGGTGCAAGTAGTTTGTGGTCTGAGTCTGAGGCCAGGCACAGCTATGGAGCATCCCCCTCCCCCCACCCCACACACCCTGAGCTAGGCAGCAGCAAAACGTGCCACGTCCTCCTTCCATACTGCTTAGGTGCTGTGGGGTGGGGCATGCTCCCACAGGTGCCCCAGGCTCTGTTGAGGACAGGACTCGATAGGCTCTGTGATGATGCAGGCCAGCATGGAAGCTACTGGCCATGGGTAGTGCTGACCCTTGGACTACAGCCAGTGGGGCTGCGGAACTGGCCTTAGGGGACACTGGAGAAAGGCCAATCAGACCTGTTAGACCCTTGACTGGGACAGCTGGTAACTGGCCCCTCACTTTCTGTGTGCAGGCGAGTGAGTTTCTTTTCTTCTCAAGCAGCTCCCCATCCCTCAGCTGCCACGGGGCCTGGTTACCTGCTCATGGTCTGGACCCGCCTCCTACCCTGTTCAGCTGCCCCAGTCAGGGGGAGGCCAGCGCCTTAGCTGGGTGTGGGGCCACAGACCCAAACAGGTCTGGCCATCTCTTTGAGCACCTCCTTGCCCTACACCCCAAAGCACGAGGTATGTCTGATAAGGTTTTATCTTGTTCCTTCCAGATTCTTCTGACGTAGAGCGACTGGAAAGATTCTTTGACTCAGAGGATGAAGATTTTGAAATCTTGTCCCTCTGAAAATCCCGACGCTGGGGGAAGGCCTCCATGGCCCTTGCTGGGGCGCTTTGAGAACCTAGCCCTGCCTCGGGAGCTCGGTGCCACCGCATTCCATCCATCCAGCCTGCCCCTGCCGAGTGCTGTGTGCTGGGCCACCTTCATCCAGAGGCCGCCCACTTGCTTGAGGACTGAGGACTGCACTGCAGTGGAGGCCTTACCGCTTGGACTCAGACTGCCCAGCCCAGAACGTGCATCAGGGCCCATCCACCTGAGGAACCGCCCAGCAGAAAGCTCAGTGCAGCTGTTGGGAGCGCCCAGAGTTCTCTGCTTGACACTGCCAGCCCTGCGTCAGCACTTCGGCTTTGGTCCTGCTTTCTCCTGGGCACCCGGGTCTGTGGTTTGTTTGGAATTAAAGCCCTGTTTGAAGTTGTGAACAAAGACATGAATTTCTGGGGCACTTCCCAGGTTGGAGTCTCATCTCGGAAGACCTGCAGGCTGGCATATGTGGAGCAGTGGTCACATCACGGCTGCCTGCTGCTCAGGCTGGGTCCCCTCTGCCGGGTGTGATTTATCAAGCAAGGGCTACCTCAGTGGGAGAGCTGGTGGAAAGAATTAACAGCAAGGTTTCTCCCTGCTTTGGGGAAAGGAAACACTTGAGGAGTAGGGCACTTGGGAAATCCAAAGATGTATTCGCGTCACGAGCAGGCGCAGATGCCCAAGCTGCAGGGCAGCGGACACCCGTAGTCCTCGGGTCCCCTCAGGGTGCACTTTCTAAGGGTCTGCTGCATTGTGAGACTTCTGCCTGCTGCTATTTGCTTGCAAGCCAGCTGCCCCAGGACTGGGGCTGGGGTGGGGGGAAGGGCACAGAGCTTCTCTGCCGGTGGTGCTGCCCCCTGGTGGAGGGAACATGCTACCGCCCAGGAGCCTTCCACCATGTTCTTTGCCCTCCTGGGGCGCTGAGGTGTCCAGTGACTTGGGACCCAGAGGGTGGAAACACTACCGCTTTGTGGTGCATGGTAGACATTGGGGCAGGGCAGCCAGGCACTGGGCATCAGCGGTAAAGTGTCCAGACTGTTCAGCACTCATTTCCCAGCTGCCACCTTTTAACTCTGCCTTCCTGGGTCCTCAGGCCTTGCCTCTCTGGTCTGCCGTGTATCCTAGGAAGGGGGTTTGAGCAGGAGGGGACAGTTTGGTGGCTGCTGCAGGAGTTGTCCTGAATGCCTTTCCCTTGGGATCTGCAGGTGGGCAGGGCTGGAGCTGCTCACCAGGTGACATGTCTCAGCCAGAGCCCTGGTGGCTCCAAATGGCCCAAGGTAGCAGGGGACACCCCAGCCCCCCAGCTGTTGACATAATTTATTTCCTCTCATTCTTCTTCCTCTTTCCCACATCATCTCCCTTAGCTACAGGGGAGCTGGCACAGCAGGGAAAGCGGGGACAACTTCCACTTCTTTGGGGCTGTGCTTCCTGAATCCAGTAGCCCATCTCTGAGGCTCCTGCTGTTGGTACCAAGGGTGGGCGGATGGAGCACCACCACCAGAGGGTGCACTCGAGGCTTGAGAAAGGCTTGCTGGAGATGTTGCTCATTCTTGGTAGTATAGTTTGCAGTTCTTAATGGCAAATAATAAGTTTCAGTAGAAAACAAGCCGTGTGTCTGTTGGTTTTTCTCCAGTTATCTGCAGTTGTATGTGATTCTTAGCATGGATGTTTAAGCTCATAGTATCACAGGTAAGGTCTCTTGTAGGGCAAGTGGAGCCGTTCTGCCCTGCTTGAGAGGAGCAGTGACACCAAGCGAGCATGTGATCCCAAAAGAAAATGAACCAGTAGCCCTTTCTTTGGTAGGAGGAAGTTTTGTAGAAGGAGCCCCAAATGCAGGATTTGCCTCACTGTTCCTCCAGGCAAGCTGGCACTGGCCTAGGGAAGAGGGACACTACCAGGGCACAGCAGGGAAGTGGCCAGGACTATCCTGCCTTGAGAAATTCTAGTGGAGCCGGGTGCTGGTGGCTCACACCTGTAATCCTAGCTACTCAGGAGGCAGACATCAGGAGGATCATGGTTCAAAGACAGCCCAAGTAAATAGTTCATGAGACCCTATCTTGAAAAAACCCATCACACAAAAGGGCTGGTGGAGTGGCTCAAAGTGTAGGCCCTGAGTTCAAACCCAGTACACACACACACAAAATTCTAGTGGGACAATCTAGGTGACCCCCACCCACCTTCTGGTGTGTCAAGGGCCTGAAGACAAGAGGGCCAGTTCTGGGCTGGGTGCAGTAGGTGAGGCATTCTCAAGAGACACGATACACTCAGCCACTAGAACAATTTGTTCTTATGGCCCTGGAGGGCAGAAGTCCAGACCATACTTTGGCAGGACGGTTCTTCTGAGAAGGTATGTCCTGTATCTACCAGCATCCAGAGGTGCTGACATTGCTCCACCTTCACACCTTCAAATGCTGTGCTTTTTTTTTTTCTTTTTGGCGGTACCGGGCTTTAAACTCAGGGGCTATGCACTTTGAGTCACTCCACCAGCCTTTATGTCATGGGTTTTTTTAAGAGATTCAGTCTGGGGAACTGTCTGCCTGGGCTGTCTTTGAACCATGATCCTCCTGATCTCTGCCTCCTGAGTAGCTAGGGAAAGACCCCTGACAACACTGGACCCACCTAGACAATCTTCTACTTCGAGGTCCTCCACCTAATCCCATCTGCAGAGCCCTTCGTGTTTACCCAAATGTCACTTCCTTTTATAGGGGGCCTGCCTTCTAGAATTCCCTACACTGCTCTCTACCCAGAAAGTGGTCTATGTAGGGCAGATTCTACAAGTCAACAAGTCATTTCATCTTGGGGTCACTTAAAAGGGAATCAAGTGAAAAGTTAAGCTCCAGGGTTGTAACAAAATAAGAGCAAAGTTAACATCAGTGTGTTCAAAAAAGTCAGGATGTGAGAGGCTCAGAGCCTGGACAGTTGGGAACAGTCAAACCCATGGCAGACCCCTTGAGCAGGCAAGGCCTTCACTGAGGACAGAGATTCCCACTCAAGGCCAGCTCAGTCCACAGCCAGCATCTATGGATAGTGATGCCTTCCACAAACACGTTTTCCGGTAAATTTTTATTAGTGCCTGTAAGAAACTCAAGGGAATTCCAGCTAGTTGCCATTTCCAATAAGCTCAACGAAACTGCTCAGACGTAAACTTCAGTAAGAAAACGTCGTACTGTACTAACAGCTTCAGGGTACAGGAGTTGGCAAAGGAAGATACTTCTACAGCACTGCTCGGCAATCCATGCCACCAATTCCGGGGCACTCCAGCTCCAGGTCATGAGAGGGAGCCTGCAGATCTCTGCCACCAGGAAATAGCTCCAAATGTCAAAGGTGAACACGTCTTGCATGAGCCTTGTACAAGTCCCTACCTCCTGAAGGACTCCAGGGGGCAGCATCTGCAGTGGGGGCCCCAATTTATTTCCATAGCTCTCCCAGTGGCCTATGTGTGGCAGTGAGGATGGCGTCCTCAGAGAGCACTCGGATTTCCTTGTGGACATCCTCAATGCTTTTGGAAGCATCAACCACCTGTTCCCACAGGGGATGCAGAGAAAAAGGACCGTTAACCCCTTCCACAGTCTCAATGCACATGGTGATTTCAAGCGGCCAGGACCCTGAAAGGGCTGACGCACACCCCCTTGGACTGTTCAGCCACGCCTTTCTCTGAACCGTGGGCTGATGGTGTCCTTGGTACAAAGCAGCCTGCACACCTGCCACAGCCCAGACGTACCGCCCATGCTCCTAAGCCAGCCCAAGTGCCTGTACCCCCAAGTGACAAGTGAGGACAGCAGCATCAGCTTGCTCCAGAGCATCTGCTCAGACGCTGTTCAGAATGTGAGGAAATTTACAGCAGAAGCGGCATGGCAGGACCTGTCCCAATGTGGGTCTGCTTCTTGTCCTCTAGGGAGATGAAGGCTGTGCCACTCCCATGCAGGAGCAACACAAGGAATCGGGGCAGGCAGGCCCCCAGAGAAAACTCTCTGCCAGCAGAAAGCCAGGAGAGGGAACTACACAGAAGTACCAGTGTTCCTAAATGTCTTCCTGTGCTCTTAAGTCTGGGCCAGGGCCCACAGCTCTGTAGGGCTGAAGGAGGCATATGAAATCTAAGTGTCTTGTGAGGTAGGACTGTACAAGAAGGGCTAATTCCTCACATGCCACCTCCTTGTCAGCCTCCGCTGAGCCACACAGTGCTCCAGGATAGCTCTAGGCTGGCTTACTGCCCAAGAAAATAAGCATTTCAAGGAAATGCATTGTCAACTGTTCTTAAAAAACAAGCCATAAAACTTTAGGATAAACTCTTCAAAATTATGGAGAAATGTAATATTAACACAAAGGACAGACCATACATGGTAAATAGCAAAGCTAGTCTGTGGCCATTGAGCACCAGCTCAGGTGCTGGGCTGAAGCCCAGGCCCCTGCTCTGGTGGAGGAGCCCAGTGGGATAGGAGTTCTGCAGGTAATAGTCACAAAATGGACAGTGCAGGCACTGCCTGACCCATCTGGACCACTTTGGCTGCTGTGCTGAAGAGGCACAGGCAACTAGTGTTTAGGAAAGAACATGGAGGTGGGATGAAGGGGTGAGGGGGAGAGAGGGACAGGTATGGAGAAGTGGCAGTGCTGACATCCACTGCAAGGGCACAGTGAAATCGCTGGAGGACAGCAGAGGTTCAGGATGGCTATCCAGACCGGGAATGAAGCAAGTTCACTGACTAGAGGAAGCAGGCCCAAAAGGAAGTTCACCATGGGCTGTTCCTGAGCTCAAGGAGATGGTCAAGTGCAGCCCTGTGGGGCTCCACAGAGGAGGGGGCACAGAAGAGCTCCAGACTTTTTAAGGAAAGGGCATTATCATCTGTTGTAGAGGAGAGGTGCCTACAGGGTCACCTAAGGTTGGCAGGGAGACCAGGAAGAAGTCAGCAAACATTTCCCATGGACTGAAAGGACAAGACAAAGTCTGAGAACTGAAGCCAGTAAGCTCCCCATTTTGACAGCACAGCCTAAGTGTAAGGACAGTGAGCTAAAGTACCATTCCTGTGATAAAGATGGAAGGCAAAGTGTAAAGTAGTTTGTAGGACTTCATGTTCTGAATGATGGTGTTTTGTAGCTAAAGCCTTGCAGAGGATGAAATGCAGGAGCAAGCTGGGCCTCACGTCTAAAAGGGGTCTGTGATAGGCAGGCTCGTGTGCATCACAGGGCCCCAGGTCTTGTCTGGCTTGCCAGAGAAGACAAAAAGTCTTGGTGCTTTGCGTAATTCATGGGGTTTAGAATTGCCGGCACAGGGCTGTGGGAACGACCCAGGGGTAGGCAAGGTCCTGGGTGACATTCCTAGCCCCACCAGAAGAAAGAATCTGCCTGGATAACACCTCTGAACTTCTGCCCCAAAGTCCACAGTGGAAAAACCTGACATACTGCAGCACCTGTGCAGAGACGGCTCCTGCACCCCTTCTCTCACCCTCACTCCTGTGCCTCTTCTCCCTCACCAACCTCGCTCCTGCACCCCTTCTCTCACTGACCTTGCTCCTGCACCCCTTCTCCCTCACCAACCTCGCTCCTGCACCCCTTCTCTCACTGACCTTGCTCCTGCACCCCTTCTCCCTCACCAACCTCGCTCCTGCACCCCTTCTCTCTCGCCAACCTTGCTCCTGCGCCCCTTCTCTCACCCTCACTCCTGCGCCCCTTCTCCCTCACCAACCTCGCTCCTGCACCCCTTCTCTCGCTGACCTCGCTCCTGCACCCCTTCTCTCTCATTGACTTCGCTCCTGCGCCCCTTCTCTCACCAACCTCACTCCTGCACCCCTTCTCTCTCATTGATCTCCAGCAGTTCTGGCCTCACCTTCCAGTTCAAAGTCGTGTCTCTCATGAGCTGTTGGAAGCACTGCAATGCTCGCTCCTGGAAAATCCCATTCTCGTAGCGCTCATGGCCAAACTCTCCCCTTGCAGCAGCATCCACCAATTGTAACTGAAGGAACAGGATCAGGTCAGGTTTGGGAAGGCCCACGTCTGGCTGTTTGCACCAATCCAGGGAAAAATTCTACCAAGAAAGAACCGAACAGTTAGAGAAAGAAAGCTGAGTGGGGTCTAATCTTTTGTTTTCTTTTGGATTTGTCTTCTCCTATGCCACCTGCTAATTTTCCTCTGCAGATACAATTAGTGGACAGAATAGCACCAGAGCTTCATGTGCTGAGCACCCACACCCTACAGTGGATGTGGACCCTGTGACATAGCTCAGGTCTTCTGCCCAGGAGGAAGGCACACCTGTATACAGACTCTGGGAGTTCACCTAGCCTGGGAAGCTGGGGTGGAAAGCAGATTCAAGACAACGTATAGGGACCTTGGTTGTGACCTGTTACCCACAAACCTGCCAGGAAGACATGAAGGAGACTGAGAATCCTGGAAAGTCACTGCCTGCCGGGGCTGGTGGATTGAATTCACTTGCATGTCTCCACTTACTCGTCTTGTCAACTAGCTAAAAATGGTGTCCTTACTTCTGGAGGAAAGACAGGCCCAGAAAGGCCCTCCCCACCACCCCCCTCCACAAGCTGAGGACTGCAGTGCCTCAGGAGGACAACAGAGAACACATCCACAGTCTGCTGGCCATTGCCTTTCTTATTGTACCAACCAAGTACTACATTGGGGGGGGGGGTGGAGCTAACTAACACATGAAGAAATGAAAGAATTAAAAAGTTACCACTTTGATAGGGCTGGAGGCATGGCTCAAGTGGTACTAGCAAGCACAAGGTTCTGAGTTCAAAGCCCAGCTTTCCTAAAGTTACCACTTTGAGTTGGGCGCCCAGCTCAAGCCTATAATCCTAGCTACTTAGGAGGCAGAAGTCAGGAGGATCCCAGTTTGAAGCCAGTCCAGGCAATAGTTTGAGACCCTATCTTGAAAATACCCAACACACAAAAGGGCTGGCAGAATGACTCAAGTGGTAGAATGCCCACTTAAGCAAGCATGGGGCCCTGAGCTCAAACCCCAGCACCACCAAAAAGTTACCACTTCATGAGCTGGGCATGGTGGTTCAAGCCTATAATGCTATTTGGGAGGCAGAGGTGGGTAAAAGGCACACACTTTTACCACTGACCTATATCCCCAGCAACCAAAATAAAAAAAGTTAAAATGTTCATGCAAGGAAGAGATGTAGAGACTGGCACCGGTGGCTCACTTTGTAATCCTAACTACTTAGGAGGCTGAAATTAGGAGGATCGAAGTTGGAGGCCAGCCTGGGCAGATAACACATGAGACCTTATCTTGAAAAATCCCATCACAATAAAAAGGGCTGGCAGAGTGGCTCAAGCGGTAAGGGCACATGCCTAGCAAGCATGAGGCCCTGAGTTCAAACTCCAGTGCTGCCACAAAAAAAAAAAAAAAAAAGTTTGAACACTGTTTAATGACACTACAGAGTGCTAGTTTTTTAAGATTATGGTTTTAAAGTTATTTTTTGGATGAGTACTAGAACATTTATGAAAAAATGACCATGTTGTCTGCTGTGGCAGAGATCAACAGCCCACTGAACAGGAGGGAGGTCAGGAAAATAAGAATCCAGCATCTGCTTGCAGCGTAACAGCCTGTATGAGAACTCACTAGTGTATTCTTGGCGCAGCAGGCAGCACGTCAGTCTCTGAGTTTGAACCTCAGAGAAGGCAGTTATGTTCTGGGTTGGAGGAGTGGCTCAAGTGGTAGAGCACCTGCTTAGCAAGCTTGAGGCCCTGAATTCAAACCCCAGTACTAAAAACACATGCCGCAAATGAACTACCCTGGATATACATATGAAACAATCACCCAAATAAAAGCTGTGTCTCTGAAGTATTTCAACACCAAATTAATCTAGAGGGAAAAGGACGCAGGAGTCAGGTATGTTCCTGAGGTAACCCACACGCCAGATGAGGGCAGGTCAGTGGTCCACACACCTGACATCCTGACAGGAGGCCATGCAACACTTACCTCCTTGGCACTTGTAAAGGCAACACCAGAAAATGCGTATCTGTCCACAACAAGGGTCACACCCTGGTTCAACTTCTCCTTGATCCATGGCCTGAAAAACACAATGCTCCTGAGCCTCTGAACTGGCTTCACTGGCCCTGAACCTTCATTAAAAAGAAAAAGGTGGAGCCGGGTGTCAGCAGCTCATGCCTGTGATCCTAGCTACTCAGGAGTCAGAGATCAGGAGGAACGAGGTTCCAAGCCAGCGGGCAAATAGTTCACAAGACCCTGTCTCCAAAAACCCTTCACAAAAAAGGGCTGGTGGAGTGGCTCAGGTGTAGGCCTGGAGTTCAAACCCCAGTACTGAAGGAAAAAAAATAAGTAAATAAGAAAAAGAAAACAAGAAAAAAACCTGGATGGCTTTGAGTTTTGTAAAACCAAAGGCGAGACCCATTTAAGAATTGAGAAGCTGAACTTCAACAAAATAAGTTTCTACTGTGTGACACTATCAAGTGAAAACAAAAGACAAGACAGAGTGCGAGAAAATGCAATACCTCTGATATCCAAAACATAGAAGACTGGAAGAGCAGCCCAAGTGGTAGAGCACCTGCCTAGCAAGCGTGAGGCCCTGAGTTCAAACCCCAGTGCTGCCCAAAAAAAAAAAAAAAAACAGGCCAAAGATCTTAACTGATACTTCACCCTGACTATGTAGTTGGAAATGAAGCATTTAAACTGCTCTACACATCATCAGGAAAATGCAAATTAAAACAGTACATTAGAATAACCAAGACCCAGAACACCGACAAAGGCTGGTAAAGATGTGGAGCAAGTGGAACTCTGTCATTACAAGTGGGAATACAATGACACGTAAAAAAAAAAAAAAAAGGTGGGAATACAAAACGGTACAGCCACTTTGGCAGACAACTTGGCTGTTCCCTACAAACACACCAGCAGTAAGGCTCCTTGGTATTTACCATAAGGTGAAAGCTTCCGTTCACACAAACACCTACACACAAGGGCTAGTGGTGTGGCTCAAGTGATAGGGCACCTGCCAAACCCCAGTACTGCCCCAAAACAAAAACAAACAAAAAACACCCTACACACAAATGATTATAGCTGCTTTATTCACAATTGCAAAATCTTGGAATTGCCCAAGGCATTCTTCAGTGAGTGGATAAATTGTTGGCCATCCAGATAATGGAATGTTAAATAACACTGAAAGAGAAACTCTCAAGCCAAGAAAAGCTGGACAAAGTATGAATGTACGTGATTTGGCAAAACCTATGCCCTTGCAGAAGAGGTGGGATAATAATGCAGGCCTACAACATATAATCAGGCTCATTCTGCATCTGATACTGTTTTGGTTTGGGGTTTTTTTTTTTTTTCGGTGGTACTGGGGTTGGAACTAGGATGATTCTTCATTTTGAACTGGACCTGTAGTTGGGCACAGTGGCTCACATCTGTAATCCTAGCTACTCAGGAGGCAGAGATCAGAAGGATCAAGGTTCAAAGCCAGCCTGGGCAAATAGTTCTGTGAGACCCTATCTCGAAAAAAACCTTCACAAAAAGGGCTGGTGGAGTGGCTCAAGGTGTAGGCCCTGAGTTCAAACTCCAGTACTTTAAAAAAAAAAAAAGAACTACACTTTCTGATCAGTTTTTCTGTATACCTAAAATTACCTTTACAGAAAAGCCTGTAAGTTCTAAGAGGGGTGGAAAAGCCGTTTTTTGTGCTCTCTAGTAAAGCGGAGCTGTGCACCCTCTACTCACAAGGCTGCTGAGTCAAGACCTAACAAACATTAGCACCCCTCACATCCTTCAGAATCACAGCTGCCTGCTCAGAATAGCTCCTGGGACAAGGAAGGAGTGGGTCAGTTTTTACACTTGTTCCCAACGGTTTGCAGAGAAAAGCAGGTGCACGGAGTGATCTTCAAGTTCATTTTTCTTTTCTAAGTAGGAACTCAGAAGTTTGCCGATTTCCGTTGATCGTTCTAGGAAAAAACACAAGTACCAATGAAGTCAGGTTTTCCATCAAAATTAGAATGTAACTTGCACTTACTTTCTCATGCTGGGCTCAGGTCTAACTGTCGAGGTTTATCTGCTAACTCTCTAGACAGGCTTGCACGGCTTCCTGAAGACGCAGCAATGGCAGAGGCCGGGGAGGAGTGTTTCAGAGGAAGTCGTGACTTCAGAAGCCACTGGACTGCCTGTCCAACGAGGCTCCCCGCCCCCAACTCCCTGCCACTGTGTTAACTGACCGCATGTTCAGAGTCCCGGCTTTACTTAACTAAAACACGGAGCCAGGCACGGTGGCTCACGTGTGCAATCCTAACCACCGGGGAGCTGGATTCGGGAAGATCGTGGTTCCAAGCCAGCCCGGGGCAGAAAGTTGTTGAGACTCCCGCCCCTCCCCGCCGTGTCCAAAATGGACTGCAAGTGTGGCTTCGGGGGCAGGGGGCCTGCTCTGCAAGTACAAGTCGCGAGTTCAAACCCAGGAGGTGCAGAGGAGCACGCAGGGGACGTGGACCTCAAAGTCCAGCACCAAAAACTACAAAAACTAAACCCGCGGGGGACCGCGGACCCACTGGCCAGGCGGCCCGCCCACTCCCCGCCCCGCCCCGCCCGCGCACCGGGAAAACGGAGCAGCTCAGCGCGGTGGCCCGTGGCGCACAGCGCGGACACCAGCTTACGACACTGCGTGCTTTTGCCCGCGCGGTCGACGCCTTCCAACACAATGAGCGCTCCGCGCTGGGCCGCCATCGCTCCCGCCAGCCAGCGAAATCCCGCGCACTTTCCCCCAACGCCCCCCGCACCAGCGTGCGCTGGGATTGGCTGAGGCCGTGGGGGGGTGTGGTTCCTGGGGCCGCGCATGCGCCTTGCGCCGCACGGCCTCTTCGGGACCGGAAGTCCTGCGCCCAGTCTGGCGGCGGGCGCGGGGCGCGCGGGGGGCGACCGGGGTTGAGCCGGTCGGTAGCGTTCCACGCGTCAGCGGCCGCACCGCATGGCCAGAGCTCTGCTTTCACCGTTCCGGCTCGTTCAGACCCTGGCCACGTGGCAATCCTTAAAAAAAAAAAAAGTAAATTTTCAGTTTCCCCACGCTGACCTGCAAGGATCTGAAAGTAAGGAAAGAGCGCGTGCGTCGTGCCCTCTGTGCCTCCCCCGCGTCCTAAGATGAATCACCTTGGGGACATGCAGACTGCTTGTGGGAGGTCGCACTTAGACACAGCCTGGGGGCGGGGGGCGGTGCAAGGGAACCCCAAGATGGAGAATCCTGGTTCAGTGCGCACGTGCTGAGCGCCCTGTTCTTTCTCTCTGCCTGTTTGCTCACACGCTGTAAGCTAAACCTGTCTAGGCTTCTGGCTTCACCGTCCCCGTGAAACTCCGTAACAACTGACACCAGGGAAAAAGCCTGCTGCGAGATGATAAGGCCCAACATGGCCAGATCTTCCTCAAGATGAGCTCTGCACATGCCCTGGTGACTCACACCTGTAATCCTAGCTACTCAGGAGGCAGAGACCAGGAGGATGGAGATCTGAAGCCAGGGCCCCGACAAATAATTCAAGAGACCCTATCTTGAAAATACCCACTACAAAATCAGGGCTTGCTGAGTGGCTCAGACAGAGAGATGGGGCACCAAAGCTTTTGGGAGGCAAGTTTATTTAGCAGACGGGCAGTGACTCAGTGGACTCAGGTCAAAGGCTGAGCCTGAGAACAAAGGGGGTTTTCCTTATATACCGTTTAGAGCAGGTTACAGACATCTGGGGCACAGCTTGTCCCATACATGGTCACATGTTATGTTACTTCACTGGCCATTTTAACCTCTGGGGCCAGGTGACTCTTCACTGGTCTCCCTCCAGGTGCTGTGTGACATTCCTCAAATCTGTTTTTTTATTTGTTTGTTTCTCTATTGCACTCATTATTTCTAGTTATCTTCCTTGTCTCTCATTAGCTCCCTTCCCCTTCCCTGCCTTCCTGCCACAGTAGAGCACCTGCCAGCCTAGAAAGTGTGAGGCCCTGAGTTCAAACCTCAATACCACAAAAAAAAAAAAAATCACCTTTGCTCTGGCATGCATATGCCAGCATTTATAGCATATCCCTGCTATAAATGAAAAAACAAAAACCAAAAAACCCTCTTGTCTAATCCAGTTAAAGTGAGCTACTTTGGGATTTGCTTTTTGTCCATTACCATGTCCTTATAATCTCATTATACTCTGAAATTTCTCTCCCTACCCTCATGGGTTTTTCTTAGGTTGCCATGGGTCATGTTAAAGTGAGCTACTTTGGGATTTGCTTTTTGTCCATTACCATGTCCTTATAATCTCATTATACTCTAAAATTTCTCTCCCTACCCTCATGGGTTTTTCTTAGGTTGCCATGGGTCATGGAATGTGCTGTGATTCTTGAGACATTGGTGTCAATCAGCTCCAAACCCCTTAGACTTCAATGAAAGTTTGGGCAGATGTAGAAATGATTGTCATTCTCAACGTTTCTTCTGAGAAGACCCACTTTGATCTCTGAAAGTGTCTTTATAAATTTTACTATTCTTAATAAACTCTGTTATTATTCTCATGTTTTGCTTCTTGCCTGAGTCTTCTTTGGCCAGACGCAAGAATCAAAATAGCTGCACTGGATGTTTGGTAATGCTCAGGTACCTGCAGGTGAAGCCTTTTGTTTCGGATATCTGATGTAAGGTACTGCTGAATAAAGACCACGCCACGTGTGGAAAGGAAAGGTTTATTGGAACCAGACCACAGGGCCGTCACTCTTGGGTTCAGAGTGAGGCAGCTTGGCTGAAAATGGGTAGTGGGCTTTATAGGAGGGGCCAAGCCATGGGGGAGGGAGAGAGAGTCTCTGGTCTCTGATGATCTGTGATCACCAGATGGAACAGGTCAACATGCCTGGCTAGTTGAGTAACTGGCAGTTCCTGAGTTGTTTTGCAAACTGAGAAACAATCAGGCAGGGAGAAACAAGCAGTCATAAGTCAGAGGGTCTGGTTTCAGTGTTTGCCTCAGGTCCTTTCGCCTGCCCCAAGAATGCCAGGGACCTAACATTCCAGCCTTTTGTTGGTATTATGGACACCCATAGATCTAGCTGCTTTGTGCTGAGTAGGGGCGTTGTTAAGGGGGGGAATTTGGAAATTTGTGAGGTCCCCAGGAGCAGAGGCTAACGGTTTTTCCCGGGCTTCATTTGTAGACAAGGCCAGTTGTTGGTAAGTTCACCTATGGCAGAAAATTGAGAGCCAAATGAGGACTGAGAACTTATGCAGGAGAGGAAGAGGGAGAGAGTTTGTGGGAGAGGCGTAGCCGTGTGGGGCCCAGCGGTATGCAAGAGTACTCATCCTTTGCTGTTATGGAAGAGTCTAAGGTTGGTGGGCAACATTTTATCCTTGAAAGGTGCTGCCACTGTCAAGCACCGTTGAGCTGGACAGCGGTGGACTTGTGAGGATGACCAGATGAGGGCTGGTCCACTGAGGTCCCAATGGAGAGGGCTGAAGATCCTTGAGGAGAACAAGATCCCCTGGTTTAACAGAAGTTGCTACAGGGCCCTCTGAGGGTGGGGCAGGATCTGGTCTGCATGCTGTCTGAGAAGTTCCCGGAGGAGGTTAAGATCAGGCAGATAGTCAGCTAGAGAAGCAGAGTCTGTCGGAGGCAAGTTTTCTAAGAGAAGTGGGTAGCCATACATTATTTAAAACCCAAATAGGAATATTAGGAGGAACATAAAAAGGTGTCTGCTAAAGGCTGCATATTTTTAGGGATCTAGATTCTGTGAAATCCTGTAGCTTCCAAGAAAGCTTTAAGCTGCTTTTATGGTATGGGGGAATGGGAAACAGAGGACTAGTGGTTTTTTCCCTCATGACTCAGGGAGCGAGTCTGTCCGTTTAAGAACACACCCAGGTAGGTAACCTGAGGGAGACATAATTGAGCCTTCTCCTGGAGACTTTGTACCTCTGGAGGCCAGAAAGTTTTAGAAAGGACTCAGTTGCCCTGCAGGTGAGGAGTTCTTGGCTCTGCACTGAAGTAAGTCATATTGAAGAAGGGTGGCCTCTGGCTAGTGCAATCTAATAAGTCTCTGGTTAGAGCCGGTCCACAAAGATGAGGGCTGTCTTTAAATTCTTGGGGCAAGACTGACCAGGTTAGTTGCTGGGAAGGGTTTGTGGGATCTTTAAGGGCAGATGGAGGCTGACTGTCAGGATGCAGGTTAAATGTAGCACTTTTGGATAAAAGAGAGCTTTAGCTCATCGTTTTATATAAAGTGACATTTTTAACTCTGCAAAAGTTTGTACAATATTTAGATAAAGTATAGACCCAGAGACCTTTGCATGAGTAAATACGTAAATGAACTCTGATTTAGTAGTACTTCTTATAGTCAACTTCAACTTTATCACACACTGAAGCTTTTATTATACACTTAAAACTTGCTCAGACCTTCATACAACATACTAAACCCTTTGATGAATTGTCCTTATTTCTCCTATTTGAAACAATCTTTAGGACAAAACCTTATTTACTATATCCTTTCTCATTCAAAAAACCATTCCTTTTTCCTTCAACTTCTCTCAATACCTATCTATATCCTTTCTAGTTGTTTACTTTGTAACTTGTATGTTAAAATTAACTTTTACAAGAATTTTAAATTTAAATAAAATTGTTTTTCCTTTTTGGCTGGTGGATGAGACCATCCACCCGCACCATGGGGATCTGTAAAGAATAACACTTACCTGAAAAGTCAGGTAGCACCAAGTAGGTGATTGAGGCCTACCTGTTACTTGGACGGTTACCCTGGGCTCCTCTGAGGTGATCTTGAAGGGGGCCGAAGTCCCAGGGCCACATAAGTCTTCTGCTGCCAGGCCCAAGAGGTCCATGAGGCCTTCTCTCTGTTGAGAGTGGGCGTGGGAGACTGACCTACCTTGCAGACACAAAGAGGGGCCGTTGTCCTTCCAGTGTCCATTCTGGCCACATTGCAGACAGGGTCCTGGTGGCAGGCGAGGTGAAGGGCAGTGTTTTGCCCAGTGTCCTGTCTGGTTGCACTTGAAGCAGGCCCTGGAGGTGTGCATTGTTGTCCGGCCCTTCTCGAAGTTGGAGGTGGTGGCCTCAGGGCAGCCGCCAAGAACTGGGCCTTTTACTGGTCTCAAACGTCATCTCAGTTATTAGATACCTTAAATGCCATTTTCACAAGATCTCCCTGGGGGGTCTGAGGGCCACCCCCTGCCTGTTTAAGTTTTCTTTGAATATCAGGGAAGGATTGGGAAATAAAATGAGAGTAGAGAATAATTGGGTTAGGTATTTGAATTCTTTAATTTAAGAGGCTGAGTCGTTAGAGAAGGAGCCAAGTCTTTTCAATTTGGGAGAGAGCTCAGTCATGAAAAAGGGCACATGAACTCTGATAAATGCCGTCAGCTCCTGCCTCCTCCCAGAGTGGTACGGGTGGGCTGAGCATGCTTGGGACAAGGTATGGGGGTGGGTATGGGACACAGGTGGGGAGGAGAAGGGTGAGGGTGTAGCAGGGGCTGAGAGCAAGGCTGGCAGTGTTGGTTCCTGAGGAGCTGATGGCTCAGGGTCAATTGTGACTGCTGTAGAAGGGGATAGGGTGGCAGATGTTTAGGAGAGCCAGCAGAGGTGGAAAAAGGGGGTTCTGAGTCATGGGAGGTTGGGGTGGGAGAAGAGGTTAAAGTAGAGGACCGGCAGGAGGAGTTGGGAGGTGGGCAGACAGAGCCCGTGAGGTCACAAGTACAAGAGTTCAGTCGGAGTGAGAGACACAGACTTTGAGA